TTTACGGAGAGATGATCACGAGTCTCGTCGTTGTATGTATTTGATTCTCTAGGGACGTGACTATACAGAAGGACTATGATCATACATATCAAGACCCATCCCAGCGACTCGCAAGGATCTGTCCGCCAACCCTCCGGAGCCCGGCCGGGTGAAAGATGGCACCCGGAAGGTGAGCTGCACTTCCCCCAGAGCTAGATGGAACCAGCTGATTGGGGGGGTAGTCCGGACAAATGCAGGATATTTCAACAGTGGGACGGGCATGACGTTCAGTCCAAGGAGCAGAGTGAACGAGGCCACGCTCCTATGCGGTTAGGCAGAACAACATACACCTTAACACATATTGTTAAACCAGCATCATACCAGCTTCATGCCTAGCAGACAAGGTGGAAACAACGCCTCGTCTTCTCCACGAGACACCAACGTTTGCATTTCGCGGCCGGTACGAGAAGACCACGAGCCAGCAGATTCATCATTGAGAGGCATACAATCAAGTCAAGGTAGTGTTTTCCTGAGAAGACTAGGCGACTTACCGTTCGTGTCTCGCGTTTGATGCTACATGCATACCTCGCATGCTATTTCTCGCGATCCCCATATGCATGTGAGGTTATCGAGGCACACGAGCCAACCGGCATGATTCGACGTCAGAGCCGGAACCAAGCGCCGCGAGAGCTCTCTGAACGATTGATGGACATCCGCACCCCCTATTCGACATGCCCGAGTCCGCATAGCATAGCATTATCGTAGCCTAGCCCGAAATTTACCAAATGTGTTGAGCTATAACGAACGGCCTACTTACCAAATAGCCACGTATCCAGGGTATCTTGCCGAGCCACGTCAAAGTCATGACCGGCGATTCCGGTATCTGTCTCGCTCGAAGTCGAGCTACTCGTTTCACAACGCACATAAACAGTAGTTACATGCGCATTAGCATTTCTACGGGCTAGCATTGCTAAAATATGCATGATTGTTGTAGTCCATTCACCATACAACGACCATCTGTTTCGAAACCGCCGTGGGGGTGACGCCAAAGTCGTGACAGGCTGGTGTTGGTGCCATGTGTTCGGTTTTTGGCAACCCCGGATTCCAAAGCCAAGTCTGGGGGTTGTTGCATAGCATAGCATTGTCCGGGTGTTCAACTGGCATTGCCCAAATATGCAAAAGTTATAAAGGCATATGAACCAAACGATGTCGCGTTTCGAAACGAGCAGAGAGCTATGAATGCCAGGAGAGCTGTGTCACCAGCCGGGGCCATCAAAGTGAGCATCATCTGGCTGTGTTGCATGGCATCCCAGGAGAGTGAGGGATAGACTTTTATCATGGATCAACTGACGATCCGTCACGCCGTTGGTTGACAGGAGATATCCCGCCGAAAAAGTCAACTTACACGAAGCGAGCATTTAGTCCGCTCATACCAACCTGTTATGGACTTGATCGTCAGGGCCCGATACTACCACCGGCAGCCGGTGGTACCAGCCAGCCAGACGGACTGCAAAACCAACCAAGATGGCAAGGGATATCCCGTGGCTTCAGGTCGAACCAGCCGACGGCCCATAGGCTCTCGGCGCGGACCTGTTTCCGATGTCTGCAGCAGAGCCATCATCTATGCGCTTCTTGCCCCTGTCCCCCCAATTCAACGGCCGGAGATGAGTAGCTCGTGGTCCAAGTGTCACATTCGTTGCAGATTTTAGACTGCTCCTGACGAACCTTCCATGTTTTTAAATAGCAATCAGAAAGGCATCGTCGTCTGCGATCCAATCCTCGACGCACGATTACAAACGGACCAGCACGCCACGCCACGGATGTGCCCGGAGCTGGAAACACCATGATGGGCGTCAGAGACGGAGAGACGGAGGAATGGAGACGGGTCTTGGAACGGGAAGGTGGTTTCCCTCGAAACTGGGCCGAGCCATTTCTGGGTGTCGTCGCTGCTGCGCGCGGGCAATAGTTCCCGTTCGTACATGCACCGACATGCGGGATATCAACTAGAAGCGTTTGTTTAAGAAGGGAGGAGTGGGGCTTTGGAAGAAAGCCAGCCAGCAAAGGGCCATGGCTATGAGAGGCCAAAGAGACAAAGGCTTGCAGTACTTGATGCTCAGTGGCTTGTTTGCAGCATGGAACTGCTGAGCAGTTGTACAGGAAATGTCCTGTTGGTGGTTGGTGCAACCTGCCCCTTTCAGGTTGTCCAAGATTCCAACCAAGACCGTTCGCTGTATCAGCTTCAAATGGGACTTCGACAAAGGGAGGCTGGTCATGTCAGTGGCCTTGGTCTGTCCTGATTACCCTGAATCCGGGGTTGCATGAGTCTGCGTTGGCTAGTCGCAACATCCGTGCAGTGGTCGAAACATGGTTCGAGATGCAACTCAAGGTTGAGTTCAGATGTACGAAGCCGGGGAGAGGGTCCGAGTCGGGGGAAAGTAGTAGAGGCTAGACCATGATCTGAGCGGGCAAGGCGAGAGAGTGTAGTGAGAGTTTGGAGTCGCTGGGCTGGCATAGCATGTCATGTCTCTCGTCTGTTGGTAATCTGGAGGATGTTTTCGAGTGACCACTGCCCTTGTATGCGGCGCAGTGGTAACTTTGATAAGCGTTGCCAATCGCAGAAGCCACATGAAAATCGATGATGCCTCTTGTCGAGGCACTCGGGGCAGTCCGGTTTTCGAGACCCATCCCGACAACACCATGCATGCATGGAGACCGGGCGGCCAGTTTTTGTAATTCCCAGGAGGATCCGGGCCTGAACATGCGAGGCGTTCTGGAGGCGGGGTAGACGGGCCACAGAGTCCGAGCAGGAGAGGTTGTGGTTGGTGGTGGCACGTTGCTGTGCCGGGCTGGGCCTTCTGTCACCTTGGTTGCCTGAGCTGGCCGAGAGACTTGATTCGTTTGATTCGTGAGACTGCCACTTAGCACGGTGCGGGGGAATAGCCTGTCAGAACACAGAGTGAGCAGTCAGGAAGAGGCAAAGCAGGAATTTGTTGATGTTGCTGAGCAGGTTGGTCTCGCTGCTGCCGCCACCAACAGGGTTGGTAGGCGAGAGAAGTATGCAGGGCCCTGGATCGTCGATGATGTTGACGGATAAGGTCATTGCCTGGATAAACCATGGCCAAGGCTATTTTCATGACCTTGCGATGACGATGACGAGCCTTGGGCCGCTTCGCTGTTATCTCTGTTTTGCCATGATGGGGAATTGAAGCTTGGCGAATGGCATAGCACAACATAGAGTGTGAAAACGATCGGGTTGCGGTTCCGTGAGAGAATGCTCTCTGGCATTTTGACTTTCTGCCAAAGTCTTTCTGATGGTGAGGGCCAGATAAAATAAGCACGCAAGGCAAGCAAGCTTCTTCCCGTTGCAGTGAGGCATTTGTCGACGATGATTGGGGGAAAAGTAAGCGTCACGTCGAAGGATGCAGGATGATGGTGGTGGGGGTGGTGGGTGCGCCTGGGATTCGGGCCGGAGATTCATGTAAATTCATTCTTGTGGTGACGATTGTTGCTTGACCGTGGATGTGATTTGCTTCCAACACCGGAGACAGGGCTAAATCCGTTCCTCTTCCCCCTTCTCGGAACCTCGTCGACGGGCTTCCTTCTTGTCCTCATCTTCGTTCGCATGGAGACGACATCCCGTGAACCGCGAGCCCGACTAGGAATGGACTGCAGACGGTGAGTGGGCAGGCATATGGGGGGGGGGGGCTGGGAGCCGGGACAGGTTTGGCGGATTCCCATTGGCAGGCCGTAGGCTTTTTAGCTCGATGCAGCGCTGTTTCGATTCGACAGCGATGCGGGTAAGTTATGTCCCCAGACAGACTGTGTCTCGTTGGGTTTGGCCTTTTCTTTATGGCTTGTTTTGTTCTCGTCGCTGGCGACAGCCGAAGGCTTCTTGTGCCTTGCATCCGCAAACAGAATCTTGGATGAAAATTCTGCCTTTCTAGTTCCGCCGCGACGATTTAGAAATTGTCATCGACAAGTTGCCGTGTTTTAGATGAGACTGACCCCAAAGCAGGACAGACCAAGAAGGGGTGGCCTGCCAACCGTCTCGCGCCTTTCATCAGTCTTTGTGTAAGGTTGTGCCTGCGGGAAGCCGTTTGGGTAGTGTCAAGCAGGGCCCGCAGCGTCCATCCCAACTCGACCCATCAATCTCAGACCGTTTCTCTCACTCACACTGGGGTCTTGGGCTGCTGCTGTTCCATTGCTGCTTCGGTCTTGGCTGAGTGACCGCGTAGGGTGACGTGGGATTGCCCGACGTAGTGCTTGCGTCCGCGCTCGCGCGCGCAAGAGCCTGCCTGTATGCGGCACGTACGGACACTGGGCGGATAGGATCGTTCGTGTATGTAGGGTCACGCTCTCTTGCACCCGCGCTCGGCGGACGGCGTCGAAGCAGAACATTAGCAGAGGCAGCCAATGCCAATGCTACCTGTACCACAGTACTGCCTTCGGATGCCTCCTCCTCCGCCGCATCTCTTAGCGCTTGCCGTAGTCGTAGGCCCCCCAACACTGAGAAGTTCCCTTCTCGCCTTCGCTTGTACGGCCTCGCTTTTGCCCTGTTTCTTTGCCATCGGCGCGACGTCAAATCCCCGTCTGTTCCACCCCGTCGACCCCCCCGGAACAGGACCCAGATAATTTTTCGTTAGTTTTGGTTTCTCCAGTCTTCGGTCCCGGGTCTCCAGGCCTCTCATTCGGTCACCTGAGGTCCACGAGCCCGCCTTTCCTCTCACCTCACCGGTAACGCCTGCTCGGGGACAAACCCTGGGAAAAAGCCGCAGCATCAACAAAACACACCCGCCCTGATGTAAACAAACCCAACCCAGTCAGCCAGGGATCTGAGCAAGAAAAAGTAATCGTTCGGCTCCTGGACCAAACACGCCGGAAGCAACCTCTGGAACATCAAGCCGTCTGGGCCTGTCCCAAGAGTCCGCAACCTTAAAATCGGCCGCCTAAAGGTCCTACACAGCGCCACACCATTGCTTCCGCTTTAGAAGGGTAACCCCTCCTTCCTCTCTGTCAAAGTCTCAGTCCTCTTGCTCCGTGTCCTCGATCCTTCTCCGGGCGCATTTCTTGGTCTCTCCACGTGCTCCATGCCAGTTGAGAAAGGAATGAGGCTGAATCAGGCGTAGCCAAGCGGGTTGCGGATACTCGGCGCACTTTTGGCGGTGGCCTGGGCTCGCTGTTCTGTTGCCGATGCGGACGGTGGGCGGTGGCCCTTGTACAACTGCTTGGGGTAGTGTCTTGTGTCTCGTTTCCCCCGTTCTCGTTTCCCCTCCCTTCACCTTGTTTCTCTGCTGGGGTCGGTTGTAGTCGTCGTCCATTGCCGTAGGCATTGCCATTCGCAGCGCGACGACGCAGAAGCAGCAGCAGCAGCAGCAGCAACAGCTCCAGAGATCGACGACGGCGCAGCTGGGCTGACTTCCTTTGCACTTGGGTCGAGCCGACTGCCACCGAATCTGTACTGCATGGGCAGTGTTTGCTGAAAACGACAAGGTGAGGCAGGCCGAGACGACCGCCACACAGTCGTCTCCATCGGCCATCCTATCCGATTCCATCCCATCCCATCCCATCCGCCTGGGGGACTCCGCCCATTCCGCTTCGTCAGCCTGTCGCTCCCACCTTTCATCTCGCCCATTAGATAACCCCCCGGCGCCGCTCATCTCGCTCCCCCTCCCGCCTGGGTCCAACTCTCACCGTATGTTGAATGACATGACCGCCGCTTGTCCGTCCTTGTGGATTTAAAGTTGGCTCACTGTCACTACCACAGACACACCTACACATACGTTGTTCGTCGTCGTTTCCGGCATCGAACTCATTGCAGCCGTTGTCGCCGCTGCCGCCGCCTTCGTCGCCGTTTCGTACCTCCATTGCCCGATCCATGCATCGCGTCCGGTGATCATAATCGCTGTAAGAGAGGCGTCACCGAGACTGGGGTGCGGTCTGCGGCCCCGGCCTGCATGGTGGGAGGAACCTTCTTGGTCTGGCAGTCTGCCATCACCATCACCAGTTGGTCAAAAAACGCTTGGAAACCGCCAAGTCCAAGGTTGATTGCACGCGACTGCAATCGAAGAGAGCGCATCACCACACCACTCGCACAAATCGAAGAGCGCAGTACGCCTTCGCCTAGTGGAGCGTAAGGTCGAGAGAGAAAAGAAAAAGAGAAGGAAAAAAGAAAAAGAAGAAGAAACTTTTCGGGGGAAAATCTGTGCATCTTGTCTCGTGCCTCGTGTGTAGGACGTCGGCCACGATGGCTTCGTATACGGATGTAACGGGCACCGCCGGCCCAGGGAAGCTCTCAAAGTCGCGAAGCAAGCCGGTGGTGAAGCCGATACTGAAAAAGCTGTCGCATTCGGAAAAGAACTCGCTGGACCTCGATCGAGGCTGGGACGAGCAACAGACGACGTTTGGGCATTATGGAGGAAGTCTGGGAAGAGAGAGGGAAGGATCCTTCGGGGGAAGGGACGTTAGCTTCAGCATCTCAGCGACAGAACTCCACCACAGCAGCAGCATCAACAACGGAAGGAGCAAGTTTTCGCACGCTCGCTCAACCAGCGGCACCTCCCACGTCAGTGTTGCGACCAGCGGCAGCGGCCATCGCAACGGCAGCTTCGTCCATCCTTTCCAGCAGACGCCGCGCACCTCCACGCCGCCCCTCTCGTATGCCAATTCACTCGCCAGCATCGAACAAGGCAGCAGCAACAGCAACAACAACAACGCCAGCAACCCCGGAGTACCTGGACCTCGCGATTACTCCCCGACAATTACTGAAGACGACGACGACCTGCTGGACCAGCACTATCTGCACCACCGCAGCAATTACCACGCGGCCACGTCTTCGTCGATACCCATCACCAGCAACCCATCATCATCATCTTACCCCCGCCGACCCTCACTGGCCAGCCGCACCTCCTCTCTATCCGATATCCACAACCACACTGGTCCCCCCTCGTTGCGCATCAACACCAGTCGCACAAACTCCAACGCAGCTTCTTCGCGACTTGTTCACGTCTCGAGTCACTCGGATATCACTCAATCCAGCGGCAGGATCTCAGAGTCCACTGCGCCCAACACGGCACCTGTGCTTTCCCCTCTGTCCTCGGCATCTCCTTCAACATCAGTAACCGCCATGTCTCCCCTGCGCACCTCGCTGGAGGGTTTCCGCTTGCGCTCACGTTCTGATCTCGACTCCAACTACCACCAGGAGCGCATCCGACTGGAGCGTCACCGCTGGGAAGAGAAGGAGCGTCTGAAGAACGAGAAGAGGGACAAGGAGGAGATGCGCAAGCGAGAGCGCGCCGACATCAAAGAGGCTCAGCGCCACGAGCGGGAGCAGCAGCAGATGATGAAGCGAGAGGCAAAGGAGGCTGCCCGCAAGCAGAGCTTCTCCCACAGCGCCCGCAACAGCTCCAGCGACATCATCCGTCCCTCCATCAGCCGCAAGAAGACGGCCCCCGACGCCGAGAAGCTGGCCATGGGAGCTGCCGAGGGCGGTGTCGGGTTCGCCAGCCGCAACTACGAAAGCACCAATCAGGGTCAGGCGCCTGTTGCCGACGAGGCCATGTTCGAGGGACCCCGCCGCTCCCTGACCGCCAAGCGCAAGACGCAGGGCGCCTGGACGAGCTTCGTCCTGTGGTTCCGGACTAGGATTCTGCGACTCCACGACAACATGGCCAAGAAGTAAGAGGGCTTCGCTTTGTCCCTCGGCTTCATTGGACCTTCCGACCTTTCTATCTTGGCGGCTACACTCAAAGAGATACTCTCCCAGATCACCACATAACCCGGTGCACGCAAAGGCACCCAGTATGAATGAGATGGATTCTCCTCACGACACCGAGCGGACACAAGCTGTTTGTCGCATTGCATTTTACTTTCACAAATATACCCCAAACACACCGACACCCTCCAACTGCTCTGCCTCACTTTCACGACACCACCAGATGCCCTTTCAGAGGTCAGGGCACACTGAACATTATTTTTTTTCACGCTCTTCATCCCCACGATTATGACCAGCATTCAGATGAATTACCGGACATGGGCAGATGAGCCAAGAAAGCACAAGAAAAAGGATTTTTCCACTTCCTTCGTTTCCACGGGACTCGGATCGGCACGGCGTTTGGCACCTTGATTTCTTCTTCTTTTCCCTTTCTTTCTCTGGTACGACGCGCACTCCTCAGGAAAGCAAGGGGTGGGGCATTCACTCGTTTGGCAGCCGTGGGAACTGGCTTGGACACAACACTGGGAAGCGAACCCTCGCGGCCCGCGGGCCTTTAGGAGGAGTTTCTGATTCAGGGAAGGCGTTCGGTTTACGAGAGCGAGCGAAATGGGCATGCCTGGCCAGGAACAGCTGCTTCCCACGGGACAGCGCGGCCGTATGTAGAAGTACACGAGTCAACAATGGGATTGACTCCTTTTCCTCGTCACTGACTTGAATTTCTCTTCTCCTTTGCTCGTGGCCTCCCATGTGATACTTGCGGTGTGGAGCTCGACGTGCGCTCACATCCAAACAAGCAGGTGAGGCTCCTCTAAAAACGTTTCTAGATGGAATGTTTTAGCTTCGCCCAAGCTTCGCCATGGTGGGATGGCGGGGTAAACCGTGTCAAGACAATGTTGGAACTATATTGGCGCCGCTAGCGCCTCCCTCCCCAGACTGGGCTGGGCGATCGTGCCATCGCGGAATGCTGCAAATCATGGAATCCCGGGGTAGGCTGGATCGATGGTACAACGCGACGGCGCGTTTGATCGTCCCATCTTTCCCTCGACGCGCCCATGCAAGCCGAGGCGTTGCTACCGTTGAAGTTCACCAAACACCAATTACACGACGGAAGCATGCTCTCGTCATGAGGCGGGCGGGGGGGTTCGCGACGCCGCGATTTCATCGAGATCGGACTCGATGGGCTGCACTAAACATCTACAGGTCGCGTGAGGTGTCTGACCGGTCGACCCAGCCGAGCTTCGCGCACGTGAAGTGGGGCGGACCCGACGCGACTGCGACGCTGCCCCCCCGTGAGGGGCTCACCGTATCTCCCGACCCTTATCGATAGATTGGGACACTGACGCTGCGATAAGACACGGGCACCACACCGCTCGTTGTCTCGTCACACTGACACAAACCCCCCCGGGTCTGCACCATTCCAGCTCTCTCTCCGTCCGCGCGGTTGCAGCAGTGTCCGTTCCTGCGTCTTAAACGAACCGAACGCACTCGAAGAATGGCGGGAACCCAGCTGGACCTTTTGGGCGCGTTGCCTTACGTGATACATACCAGATAGACGAGGGGACACCTTTTCCGGGTCTTGGCTGACTGGAGGGCGAATGGGACGGGTCAATCTACACTGCGCAGCCCGACGGAATCGGCGTACCCACCCGGCACGAGCGCCGGAGGCATACCTACATGCAAATGCATGTCCTTGACAACTTCTGTTCCGTCGCCAGAGATGCCGAGGCACGGGAGGCCATGGCATCCACCCTTCTTCCTCCATCTCCCTCCTCCCCCCCCCCCCCTGACGTTAAGCTTCGATAGCCTATCCTCGTCTCACCTGCTGAATTACGGGGCCTTCACCTGCTAAGAAGCTCTTCCCAGCACCGTCGCTAATCCGAGCTCCCTCAAAGTCCCGTCAGCTTTTTCCCAGCGGGTCTGCAATCCCGTTCTGTGGATGGAGTGATGGGTGACTGGCTTGGTTGTATTGGGAGCTCTTTCGACCCTGACATTTTTTTTTTCTGCACCGGATCTGAGGTAAAGCAAGCTAAGGTAAGGAGCCCACATTAGCTCCATGAGCTCTCACCACCGAGGACACACACACACACCTCAACCGCAGCTTGATCACCCTTCACCTGTCCCCATCCGTTTTGTTTCAACTGGCTCCAAACCAGCCCTTCGCTGTCCGTGTGTTCCGTGTCCATCGGCTGAATTGAGCCAGAAAAGCACCAGAGGAGAGCAAGACACAGCTCCAACTACTCTTCCTCCCAAGAACTCCCGAAACTCTCAAACACCTCTCCCCAGGCCGAGCTCTAACCTTCGCAAGGGTCCTCCTCCCCAACGGTTCCCGTCCCCCCCAGCGGGCATCTGACAATTGCCGCCGAGCTTCCGAGCAATCTGCATCCTTTGGCTTGACGTTTCCGGCCTCTGGTCTTCTCCTTCCTTCATAATACCCTGGCTGATCCAATTGACCCTCACGCGCAAGTCGTCAAGCTTGTCACGGTGCTGTCTCGCTCCTGCCGCCACTTCTCGTGATACCAAACCACCTCCCCCTCGCCCGATTCCGTCCGGCTTCACGGCCGACCCCTCACACGCATCATGGCCCCGAACCGTAAGTACGCCAACTACCCCGGCGCCCGTGAGGCGCCGACCCAGGTCAAATCGGATACGCCAAAAGAGGACCAGAACCCCGTCCTCCGCGGCTGGCCTCTCGTTGCGGGCTCGACAGTGTGAGTGTCTCTATGTTATCTCCCATCGCCAGACCTTCACCTGCTGACGATGAGCACAGGCTTGCAAACTCCGGCGCCGTCCAGCGCTACTTCTGGCGCAACGCCAAGTTCGGCTCCATCAGAGACCTCCCTGGCCTCGTCGACTACAGATACCGCTTCCAGGTCCGTCCTTCGTCTTTCGCGCCGCGCCCCCCTCGCTCGCTTCACTAACACCCGCCCAGCCCGACGTCCTCGTCCTCTCCGAATCGGGAACCCACCCGGACCCCCTCCCCCTGACCGCCGAACTCACCACCCCGGCACCCCAGGACCAGCCCTCCCGCTACCTCTCCAGCGCCGACTATCACGCCCTCTACGCCTCCGGCGCCGCGACCCCGCTCGACGTGGTCCAGTCCCTGCTCCCCCTCGTCCGCCGCGCCGAGGGCCACCCCCCTCCGGAGACGGGGCCCTACGCCAACGCCTGGGTCGCCTCCCACGGTCGTGAAGACATTGCCCTCGACGCGGCCCGCGCCTCCACGGAGCGCTGGCGCCGCGGCGAGCCGCTGGGCCCGCTCGACGGCGTGCCCATCGGGGTCAAGGACGACATCAACGTCAAGGGCTACGTCAGCCACAACGGCATGCAGTACCGCCCCGACCTGCCGTGGTTCAAGCCGGCCGAGGAGACGCTGTGGCCTGTCCAGCAGCTCGAGGCCGCTGGCGCCATCGTCTTGGCGAAGAACGCCATGCACGAGTTGGGCGGTGGTACGTCCTCTTCTCTCCCTCTCTCCTCCCCTTTTCCTCAATACGTGTGATGCAAGAAGGCTGACCAGAAGCTCTCCAGACACCAACGGCTGCAACGTGAGTGACGCTCCGGTTCCGCCGGGAGAAGCCCCCTAGGGAAGCAACCCCGTACTGACAAACCCTTTTGCAGCCCCGGTGGGGAACCCCCACGAACTGGCACAACAAGTCCTACTACCCGGGCGGCTCGTCCTCCGGCGCCGGCTCCGCGCTCGGCGCGGGCATCGTGCCCATCGCCATCGGCACCGACGCCGGCGGCTCCATCCGCATCCCCGCCTCCTTCAACTCCTCGTACGGCCTCAAGCCCTCCCACCACCGCGCCTGCGCCATGAACTCGTCCGTCTGCGTCGTCGGGCCCCTCGCCGCCACCGTCGCCGACCTCACCATCGCCTACCGCATCATGTCGCGCCCGAACCCGGACGACCCCATCCAGGGGCTCTACACGCCCTCCATCCCCCCCTCCATGTCGCCCGCCGCCGCCGCCGGCTCCCACAGGAAGACCATCGCCATCGACGAGGCCTGGTGGTCCCGCGCCGACCCCTCCGTCGACGCCGTGTGCCGCCGCGCCGTCGCTCACTTCACGTCCCAGGGCTACGCCATCGTGCCCATCCGCATCCCCTACCTCCGCGAGATCCAGCTCATGCACTCGGCCGTCTGCGTCACCGAGATGCAGGACCTCGCCCGCCACCGCCACCCGGACCCGGAGCAGTGGCAGTCCATCATCAACCACGCCAACAAGATCACCATGTCCGTCGGCACCCAGACCCCCGCCGGCGACTACATGAAGTACGCCCAGCTGCGCGACCTGCTGATGAAGCACCTGGCCTTCCTCTTCGAGGAGAACCCGGGCATGCTCATCGTCACCCCGACGACCCCGCTGCCGGGCTGGCCGCGGAACCCCGCCGACGACGCCTACGGCGTCTCCGACACCAACGTCTCCATCGCCAACATGAGCTACGTCTACGTCGCCAACGTCAGCGGGTGCCCCGCCGTCACGGCGCCCGTCGGCTACGTCGACCCCGTCCAGGGCGAGGGCAAGATCCCCGTCGGCCTGATGGCCATGGCCGAGTGGGGCTGCGAGGAGCAGCTTCTCGACTGGGCCAAGGAGGCCGAGACGTACCTGCTCCAGGAGGGCCGGCAGAGGCCCGAGGGGTGGGTGGACGTCATCGAGGTGACCAAGAACGGCGGGCTCGAGGCCAAGAAGAACATTTGAAAGGTCACGACACCAGATAGGCCTGTTGTCGTAGATCAGGAGAGGAAGGGGGGGACGATGGGACGACGTGAAAAAGAAATCATCATAATCGTCATGGTTTGTTTGTTTGTAAGAGTATCTTGAAACAGTATAAGCCGGCGGTCTACATCCCCGGCCAGAATCTGAACCTCATGGGCAAATCAAAAAAGGCGCATCTCATTCGTTATCGCGTTCGGGTTCATGCCAACAAGGTTGACGTCTCTGCTGCCGCGTCTACTTGAGGAACTTGGACGCCATTCCCATAAGTCCGCTCTGCTGCTGGCCTTGGCTCTTGAAGTACATCTTGAGCGCCATCTCGCCCGCCTGCTGGATGGCCGACTCCTTGCTCGTGCCGTCGGCGACCTTACCCTGCGACTGGCGCTGGTCGAAGAGCTGAGTGGACGTGGTGTTAGCTGCCGTCTCTCCATCTACATCGCCCACCCGTGTCTCCTTTAGGAAGAATATAGGGGGTAAAGGGGAGGGGGTCGGAAGACGCCAACTCACCCGACTGGCCTCGGCCATGGCGAGACCCGCGAACCCGCCCTGGCTCTGCTTCTGACCGCCCGTCTCGCCGCTGGAGAACATCTTGAGCGCCTGCATCGCGGCCGCGGCGCCGAGGCCCTTGTCATCGGCCTTTTCATCGTCATCATCGTCACCAAAGTACTTCTTGTGCTTCTTCACGGCGTCTGTGGCGAGTCACAAACACGTCAGTATAGGTTAACCCATCCATATCCACCCTGCCCCCTTCTCTCTCCACTCAAAATGGTTTCCCGTATTCGGGAAATGCTGCAGAGGGATAGAGCATGAGAGTGCTGGTGGGAAAAGAAATAAAGGAACATACCATCCTCGTCAATATTCTCGTTCCTCAGTTGCGTCTTCTTCTGCGTCAAAGCCCCTAGCACGCTCGAGAACAAGTCTGTGTCACCGTGCGAACCCGCGTGGCGCGACGCCTCGTTGGCGACATGGCGGTAATCATCGTCGTCGTCGTCGTCGGCAAAGGCTCCGCCGCCCGCGGGGTAGTTGCCGCCATGAGACTCTAATTACGAACGCATACGAGAGTCAGCGCACCGTTGGCCCTCCCTTCCCCTCCTTTTTCATCTATTTATTTTTTATTTTGAGTTCAGGTACACCCCCTCCAGGACAACGAAAAAGAAAAGGTTCGTTCGATTCGGGAAGTTTGAAACTTACTGTCGCCACCAGGAAGTGGTTGGCCTATTTAGATGCTCGTCAGTCGGAACTTCCGTGAATCAAGGGCGCGCGGGGTAGGGGAGAAAGGAGATGGCGGGGTAGTTCAGGAGGGGGAGGGAAAGTTTGTTCAAGACATACCGTAGCTGCTCTGGTGCTGCTTGGGCTTGTCGTCGTCGTCCTTGTTAAGGTACTGCTGGGCGACGTTCATAAGCTTGTCCATTGTTAAGGCGTTGGTTTGGCTGATGATGTTGGGATAGGTGTGATGATATTGTCAAGAGGAATGAAGGGGAAGAAGGGCGGGCTAGAGAGAGGACCGGGTTGAGAGCTCTTGTAGATAAAGAGGAGAGCCACGTCCCCGCATCGCCAGCGGGCGATCAATTGTCTCGGGGCCCTGAGCTGGCCATGCACGCCAAAACAATATTGGACCAGCGTCCAATGGCCTCGTAGGCCTCCCGGTTCACAGCCACAGTCGACAGACTGAACAGTGCAGCTAAGCTAGCTGTCCAGGGGACCTCGAACCCGTCTCCAGCTGCCACAAATCGCACATGCCGGTAGTGCGCTCGACATGCAACATATGGGGTCGTCGGCATGCTTCAGTCATTGATGGCTCCCGACTGCTGGGTTTAGTGCTTGCCCCCCTGTGCCTTGGCTCCCCGCGGTGCATGAGCTCGGCGTAGCTTGTGAGTTGGACCCCTACTTATGTAGCAGCCCGTCGTGCCCCTCCACTAGGTATCAATGTGCTCGTACCAAGTAGCGACAGAGTCCCACCTGTGACCCATTGATCAGCAAGCCTAGGTCACACCCGCATCGCAAGCTCTGACCGTCCAATCAACACTTCCGTGCTGGGATGGCCTGAAATGTGCTGAATGCAAAGTCAGAACCTGCCTGGCTGGGTCCAGGTCTTCAGGGCGAACGGCATGTTTCAGGAACCTCCGAGCTTCGCTGCGTCCGTAAGACATGGGCGCGAAAGTAATGCGAGTCGGGGTTGATAGCTGGGTTATCATCTTCACGGGTGCACGTGGCGGCCTCTGGCTGCTATCCCAGCAGTGGCGTGCACAGCTGTGGCCGAGGCGAGGTATCTAGGAGAAGCGCGCACGCGAACTTGGGCATCACTCATCCCGCGCTCCGCAGGAGCAGTCCTTCTGGCTGGGGTCCCTTCGTCGACCGCCGGCCGAACTGCCACAAACAAGACAACACGTCCGGTAGGTCCCGCCCGAGCCGCCACCCGCGTCAACTGTACCTGACTCGGAGAATGGCTCGCCGGCTAGTGAAAGCAACATGGCTTGAATTTCGCTCTCTTGAAACTGTCGATCCGAAGACCTCGCCCCTTCTGCCTCATGGCCCAGTCGTGTTCAGGTATCTCAGTTGCTGCAAATAAATAAGACCGGAAACGTAGCATACAGCCATATGTTCGTCAAGACAATAGTCTTGCTCCGTGCCGTCTTCCAGGCGCCAACTCCAGGTGACATAGTTTAGCCGTGCCCAACCCTCTGGGGCATCTGTGGACCAAATGCGGTGGTGGTGACTCATTAAAACTTAACCTCCGCCATGCTCGACTTGTAGCGAACCCGCCTGATGGCTGGTGTTGTTGCTGTGTCGATTCTTCTTCTCCTTCTTGGCCCACCGAAGGCCACAGGCGTTGCACAGTGTTTTCGGCCCACTTGGGCCTTTGCGCCATTCGGGAGAATCCAGGGTACCTGATCATCGTGGTTAGAATGTCCGCAGAGCAGCATAAAGGCTGGCTGGAGCGGGAGCTTACCGCAGTCAGTGCAGACGTATTCCTCAGAAGTCTTGAGCTTCTTCTTCTTATCGCCTGTCCGAGGATCCCGGTCGAGTGGGATGGCAATTCCGGCGTCGCCCTTGATCAACGTTGGACTTGCGTTGCCTGTCGTGATACCGCGGCTTCTCTCACCCTCCATATACCTCAGGCCAGTCAGCATCTCAATGGTGTCCGTGTGCGAAGCCGCTCCTTCGTATCTGGCCATCTTGTCCTTCAGCGAGTCTGGGCGACTTCCCGCGACACCTTCCAGAGCCTCTCGCGTCAGTGCAACGTTCAGGGCCGACGACCTGTCGCCCGTGTCTGTGTCGCGAGACGGGTGGCTCGGAGCGGACGTCATCGTAGTCTCCGACGGCGTCATGTCTGATCTGCCCTCCTGACTCTGCATCCATTGCCGTTGTGACTCCTCGTTCTCCATTTCCTCCTCCCTGCGCAGCTCGGCAATGCGTCTCCTCAGGCGTTCGTTCTCGATTTTGTGTTCTAAAAAGGAGTCCAGCAAGCCCGCGTTCTTTGTTGGGTATGGACGCGACATCATGAACACGGCCTGGCAGAATGGCGATTGATTGTGCGGGTTTGGCGCAAATTTGGCGGCGGCAATGTGGGCATGGCCTACCGACTCGAAAATGGCGTATTTCCCGTCCTTCTTCTTGAACCTGAAGAACAGGCGCAAGGGGTTCCCCGAGGCTATGGACTCGTTCAGCTCGGCGACGAAGACACCAACGTCGTCTGGATGGACCAGATCCTTGAGGAAGGTGTCGGCAATCTCCTCGGCGGCGTAGCCCGTCAGGTTCAGGATGCTCGGCGAGACGTATCGTATGCGACCGTTGGCGTCGAGTATTTGAAGAAAGTCCTTGAGCTCTTCGACTACTTTTGCGGGCCAGTTCCGCCTCTTTGTGAACTCGGTAAGGGTGCTGCCGGCCTGCTGCAAAGCCTGCGCATTCATGCCACCGACGGGCGCGGGCCCCGCGCCGACAACACTCGAAGCGTCATCGCCATTGTTTGAATAGTTGTTGCTCATGGAGGGTGTATCGTCTCCCAGAGCGTCGGGCATGGGGGTGTTGCCGACGAAATTGAACGTGGACATGGCGTTGTCGTCGTTGGGGTTGTCGACGCTCATGGACATGGCGTCAAAACTCCCGTAGACTGTCGGGTCCAGGAGCGAGGACATGATGTTTGGGTCGGCTTCTGCCATCTGCATTGCGTCAGCGCGGCGTAGGGAGCGGTCTGCGAAAGATTGTAGGGGGTGTAAAAGGATGCGTCGGGGGGTTTTTGGCGGGTCGGGGGCAGACAAGAAGTAAGCGAGGCGGACGCGGGAAAGTGAAGTATCAGATCAGGGCCTGGAAAGGAAAGCGGGCGGGACGAACAGCATCAAAGGCAGAAAGTGCGTCTTGGGGCCCGAAGCCAAAGAAATTGGCCTGGGGAGGTTGAGGTGGTCCGTGAGACATGATTGTGGTGGTATTGATCCGATGCTGGCCCTGACGGCTTCAAACAAAGGCATTGGCGATTTGCGACGTGATTCGATATCGATATTTGGGGGGAAGTGGTGGTGTTTCCCAGGGCGGAATATGGTCACCTCACGGTAGGGGCGCACTGCAACTCTGCTGGGGGCGGGTCTCCTGCCTGCAACTCAAAGTGCGACAAGTTCGTTGCGCCTGTGGCGACCAGGGGACTGCGCCCACGCCAGCGGCAGCGACAGCGACGGAGCCTGAGCCCGAGCCTGGGGTCTGCGATGGCAAACTGCGATGGCAAACTGCGATGGCAGACTGCGAATGCGGTCGAGGCGTGTCGAGGGGGGGGCCGGCGGATATGAGCTGACACGGGGAGCTGGAGCTGGGTCCGATGAGGCCTAGAATCAACTAGGTCAAGGTAAAAGATACGGGCGGATATGGGGCGCTGTGCATCGACGGGTGCACGGCTTAGTCTTCCATGTCTCGTTGGATAGACGTTTTTCGATTCGCTAGAACAGGGACAAAAGGCCGATGTCGAAGCAAGTGCCAGAATGCGTGGTGGATGCAACTGAATGACCGATGGAAGAAGAGAAGGAAAGGAACAAGAGAGGACGGCAGAGTAGAACGGATCGGGTGTGGTTTGAGTGAGAGATTTCCAATCGACGGGGTCTCGCAGCAGTTAATAAAAAGACCGGGCTGGATTGCTGCTAGTACAGACGTGACCAGACCAGTCTGATTTGGTGCGTATTGCAATGCCTTGCGGTGCGGGACAGTAACGGCAGGTGTAGCGGCAACAGAGGTACCTAGCAGTACGCAGCGCTGATAGACGACGGTGGGGGGAGAGAACAAGAGGAAGAGTGCGAGTGCCCCGGCAATGGTTGAGGGCGGTGATGAAGTGAGGCGCGTGTCTTGTTTCTCTGTCCTTTCTCTCGAGCTGTCCCGACTGTCGTGAGACAGAAGCTGTGGCTTGGGTTGAGTTGGGTTGGGTTGGGGTCCAGTCAGGTTGGGACGTGGACCATGAGGTCAAGTCTGACCACCTCAGAAGAGCAAGATAGGGTCGCCAGCGGGTCGAGGCGAGAAGCCAAGGAAGGCTGGGAAAAACGGGATGAAATGGAACAGGTTCGGAGAATGGGAGGGAGAGAAGGGAGGAAAGAAACCACGAGGGACAAAGAGGCGCGGGGGACGAGGGAGAAGAGAGAACCGGGTTTGCGTGAATGGCCGCGTTCGAGTCGTCACCACCATGGGGAAAAAATTCAGCAGAGGGATATTGGCCTTGTCTCCTTGCCCGCACTTGGGGAGGGGGGGAAGGGTGCGACGGTGCTGGTGCTGGTGCACTTGGTACAGTACCTGCGGCGGTGGGATGGGCCAGATGGGACACGATGTGGGAAAAGCAGGGACCTGGGAAAAGATGGGAAACTGCAAAACGGAAATGGAGCACATGGCAATTTTCAGTCGTGGGACATGGATATCTGGCGACTGGTGCACCTGATCTACACTCTGGAGGGAGGTACCCCCATTCCCATCCGCTTCCACATCCCATTTTCCCCCTCCCCCCTCCCCCTCCTTCATCCTCCCCGCCGCTTACGTCTACTACTGTTCGGCACCGCAGCGACTCGGACGCGTGCCCCGGTGGCTGCTTGTGCTCGTCTGTCCCAGTGTCCTTTTTCCGAGTGACAGCTAGCTCTGTCTTTGTTCCATTCGTGCTAGTACACTCGAAAACAGGGCCACTGCAGGGCGTCAATCAGCATCCTCTGCTCCCCCCATCACGCTGGTGCTGGCATGTCACGCTCCGAGCTTACACGGTCCACGCCAGGCCAGGCAGGCCAGGACAGGCCACCCAGTGTGGTGGTCCCCGAGCTGAATTTCCAGGGGCTTCGCGCAGCGATGACCCCCTGGGAGGTGGTAGCTGGGATGCCACGCCCCGGAGCAAATGCCCCGGCCGAACGCACACTTCGGCCGGAGGTTTTTGTACTATTACATAGCTGTACGAGGTGCGGTGGAAGCTGGTGCTGTCTGGAGTCGCGCAACGATGGGTCCCGGGTGGAGAAAAATGGCTGATGTGGCCGTTGGCCTGACTATGTACAGTACAGTACAGTACAGCACGCTGCAGGCCGCCGAGGGCCCCAGTGGGTGCCCGTTACCCGTTTTGTTTCTTCCAGAATCAGGGCCGCCGCAGAGCTTTCGCACCGGAACGAGGGGCTGAACTGAGCGAGACCCTCCGCCTCGTCCGCCTCTTACCTCAGCGGTACAGCTAAGGTACCCAGGCTTGCCAGGTAGGTAGGCCTTGCGACCCACCACTGACATGACTATGGAGATTACATAATAACGCACGGCAGCTAAGTACTTACTTGCCTCGACTTAGTGGCTTAGGTACGTAGGTAGCCGGCTGGAGGAGTGGAGATTTGACGGTTCGCCTACCTACCCTAATGCGGTTACGTCCATCGATCGCTCTGGGCCCTGCGTGTTTGTACGAGGAACGAATGTTGCTTGCTTGCTTGTAATCGCCTTTGTGTACTCGCATCGCCTGGCGCAAACCCCGTCTGATATTTGACATGGCCTGAACTTGACAAGAGAAGAGAGCAATGCAGGCTATTTTAAGTTGCCTGATGATGTCATTGACTGGATTGCGTCAATTTTGAATGGAACCTTCGACTACGATGCACTAATATCCCGTACCGTGCTAGCCGTTCGAATCGTCTGCCTGGCAGCTTGTCACCGGCTACCATGAAGCAGGAAACGCAGTGCAGGCATCTTTCGTTTCACTCAGCACAGAGTGTCTTCGGGGCCGGTACACCACCACCGCACTCTCTCTCCTGTTTTCATTGCCCTGCCATCTTTCTAGTACACTATCATGAGAACCAATTCATTCGCAAGGACCGCGGAAGACCACGGATACGGGACGCTAGGGTGTGTTGGAAACGAAAGGGGACAGAGCCAACGAGATGGAGGCAACAAGCAGGGAAAGTGGAGGCGGGTGATTGTAAGGCTGCCCTTATCTTTTCGTCGCCCGCAATGCTGTGTAGCTCGCGCAGGAGCCTTTTCCAAAGGTTGGCCTGAGTCCAAGTAGCGTCTCGATTTCCATCATGGTTGACTGTTGCAACCTTAAACACCCTTAACATTCTCATTTGCTAGGAAGTAGGTGTCGTTGCATGTCTGAAGCCACTACATACTGTACTGACTTGGGGCCGGCCTTAGTCATCCCAAGCAGTAAGTCAGCGGCCTGCCCTGGCGCCAGCACTTCAGCCGAGCCAGCACCTCGTTGTATAGAAAACCCCACGAGCTCGGGACGGACACTATCTCAGGCGCCGTGGGGGCCTGTAGCCTGGAGCCTGGAGCCTGGAGCCCACTCGAGGCGCCGCTTATCTTATCGCCTGGCGCGAAGTCACGCTTTTTCGCATCTGCTGCCTTTACGCGTGCCATTCCCAGATGTCCCCGGAGCTCGCGTCGCACGCACGTACACCAGCGTCCATCAACGCCCGCCCCAAGCGACCTCCACCGACTGCAGCCTGGTGCAAGGCAACGAGTAGCACCTGTCGCCGGCAAACACGAGACTGGGTATAATTTCCCTTCAAGCTTCCCTTTTAACTTCTTCCCCGACACCACCACCACCACCACCAACAACCCCGCACAACTAGTTTCCTCCACACCCTCGATTCGTATGGCAATTGGCCCCGAGAGGCACCGCCCGCCATGTCCAAAATCGACAAACTGTCCGTCCAGGGCATTCGCTCTTTTGGCGGCAGCCGCGAAACAATCTCATTCTACACCCCTTTGACCCTCATTGTCGGCTACAACGGCTCCGGAAAGACCACCATCATCGAGTGTCTCAAGTATGCCACCACCGGCGAGCAGCCCCCCAACAGCAAGGGCGGTGCTTTCGTCCACGATCCTAAGGTTCGTATCTTGATCTCCGTCCACTGCGGTGCTTCGCCAGTGAGCTCGTGCTGACGCTTTCTAGTTGTGCGGCGAGAAGGAAGTTCTGGCGCAGGTCAAGCTCGCATTCACTTCGACCAGCGGTCATAAGTGCGTCGCCACGCGTAGTCTGCAGTTGACCGTCAAGAAAAACTCCCGATCTCTCAAGACCCTCGAAGGCTCACTGGTCTACAACAACAATGGCGAGCGCACCGTCATCTCCTCCAGAGTCGCTCAGATGGACGAGTTCATCCCGAGAGAACTCGGCGTCTCCAGGGCCATCCTCGACTACGTCATCTTCTGCCACCAAGACGAGTCTCTGTGGCCCATGAGCGAGCCTGCAGCGTTGAAGAAGCAGTTCGATCAGATCTTCGAAGCCATGCGCTACACCAAAGCCATCGACAACCTCAAGGTCCTCAGAAAGAAGCAGGGTGAAGAACTGGCCAAGCTTAAGATCTTTGAGGAACAAGACCGAATCAACAAGGAGAAGGGCGATCGTGCCGAGAAGCGCTCCATGGCCTTGCAGAACGATATCGAGGAGTCCCGGGAAAAGTGCAACGCCCTCACCCTCGAGATGGAACAGCTGCAGGAGCAGATCCGCGAGAAACACGAGCAGGCCAACAGCTACTTGAACATCGTCAACGACCTCAAGTTCAAGAGGGACCAGCTCACTTATCGTGAAGGCTCTATTGCGGATATCAAGATGACCCTCGAGGAGCTTCCCGAGGACGACGAGTACCTGCAGAATGCGCTTGCCCAGTACGAGGAGCGCATGGCCCGCTACGAGGAAGAAGCAAACGAGAACAAGGCCCAGTATGCCGAGCTGCAAAAGAATCTCACCCAGTCCCGCCGCGAGCTTTCCGCCAAGCTTGCAGAGCAGGGCAAGCACCAGTCTGACAAGGACAAATACGAACGGCAGCTTCAGTCCCGCATGCAGCTGGTTCGGGACGCCGCAGAGCTTCACGGATTCCGTGGCTACGACGGCGACCTCAAGGATGCTCAGATCAAGGCCTTCAACGAGCGCATCCAAAAGCTGTTGGCCGAAAAGAAGCGCGACCTTGATCGCGCGCAAAAGGAGAACGCGCGCGAGCTGGATGAGGCGACGAGCGTCATCACCGAGCTTGAGGGTCGCAAGGCAACGACGACTCAGAACCGTGTCTTCGCGAAGCAGCGGATGGGTGCCATCGATAAGCGAATCAGCGTCTTGCAGATGGATATCAACCGGCTGGACATTGACGAGGGTGCCAAGGCCATCCTCGACAGCCAATTTGAGGATGTCGAGAGCCGGCTGAAGAAGGCAAATGAGTCCTTGGCCAATGCCGACTACGACAACCAGCTCCAGCAAGAGAACGAGAAGTTGTGGCAGCTCGAGAGCGAGAATGAGAAGCTTGGTCGCGAATTGATGGAGTGCACGAGACTTGCTTCTGAGCGGGCGCAGCTGGACTTGCGCAAAAAGGAACTGTCAGACCGCAAGCGCAAATTGGATACACTCACCAACACGTGGAAGGCCAAGTTGGACGCGCATATTGGCACCACGTGGCAGACAGACACTCTCGAGGCCCAGTTCCAGGATGCCTTAAAGCGCCAGAACAAGATTGTCGCTGAAGCTCGTCAGAAGCGGGACTCGGCGCGGGACAAGCAGCAGAAGGTTGACTTCAAATTGAAGAGTGCCAAGGACCTCGGCGCCAAGAATGCAGACGAAGCACAGCGTTGCCGCAGCGTCGTCGTCAGCGCTTTGCAGGCGGTTCGAGACGGCGCCACCATCGACGACTACGAGGAGGAGGTTAAGATGCACGAGGAAGACGTGGAGACTTACACCACTGACATCAGCCTCTTGGACGCCCTGGCAGACTACTACCGCGGCTGCCAGAAGACTTTGCAGGAGAAGAACAAGTGCCGACTCTGCGACCGCAATTTCGATGATAAGTCGAATGTCTCCAAGTCTCGATTCTCGGACAAGCTGATCAAGTTTCTTGATCCCAACAAGAAGGAAAAGGCAGAGGAGGATCTCGCCAACTCCACTGCCCTGCTTGATTCCCTGCGCAAGGTCAAGGCGCAGTACGAGACATACCAGAGACTGATGGCAGAGCTCCCTTCTGTAAAGGAAGAGATTGCTTCATTTGAAGCTGAATGCGAGACTCTGGGACGTCAGCTGGAGGAGCAAGATGCCGTGGTCAGTGCCGAGGAAGGCAAGTTGAACGATATTGAATCCCTCAACAAGACGGTCATCAGCATTACCCAGGCCCTCAAGGACATCAAGGAATCCGAGGCTCAAGTCGACCGAATCATGTCTCAACAGTCGTCTGGCACCGTCAGTAGAAGCGCCGACGAGATTCACGAACTCCAGGCGTCTTGCAACGAGCAGATCAGATCGATGAAGAACAAGATTTCCAAGACAACGTCGGATCGCCAACGGATGAAGGACCAGATCAACTCGCTCGAACTGGAGAAGAGTGAGCTTCGGAACAAGCTGAGCAAGGCCCTCAACCAACTGGAGCGCAAGAAGGACTTTCAGAACCAGATCCAAACCCTGAAGGAGGACCAAGTTCATCAGCGAGAGTTGGTCAGCCAAGCCGACCAGGAACTGGAGTCTATCGAGCCCGAGATCGCCGAGGCAAGATCAGTCCGAGACGACACCTTGCAGCGTGGCCGTGCCAAGGAGCAGGCTATTGCCGAGGAGCGGGACAAGGTTGCTGACTCGGTTACGGAGCTGAAGATGGTCGAGAACGACATCCAAGACTACATTGACCGCGGCGGCCCCTCCAACCTGGCGGCGAATCAGCGCGCCATCGCTAGTCTCGAGAAGTCGATCGCTGCCCTGGATAAGGAGATTTCGGACCTGACTGTGCGGACCAACAAGCTGAAGCAGGATATCGACAATGGTGATCGCAAGAAACAGAACATTAGCAACAATCTCAAGTACCGCCAAAACCTGCAGCAGCTCGAAATTCTCCGGCGGGATATCGAGGACCTGGAGTCACGCGACGCCGACGAGGACTACAAGACGCTGATCGCCGAAGCGAAGCAACTGGAGAACCGCCACAACCGGCTGGTTGCCGACCGCGGCTCCATCATGGGCCAGATGAAGACAAAGGACGAGGAGCTCGAGCGGCTCTTGCTAGAGTGGGAGCAAGAGTACAAGAGCGCTGCCAAGAAGTACCGCGAGTCGCACATCAAGGTCGAGACGACTAAGGCGGCCATCGAAGACCTGGGCCGATACATCTCGGCCCTGGACACGGCCATCATGCGGTACCACAGCCTCAAGATGGAGGAGGTGAACCGCATCGCCGGCGAGCTGTGGCAGAGCACGTACCAGGGCACCGACATTGACACGATCCTGATCCGCTCCGACAACGAGAACGCGACGACGGGCCGGCGCTCGTACAACTACCGCGTCTGCATGGTCAAGCAGGATACGGAGATGGACATGCGCGGCCGCTGCTCGGCGGGCCAGAAGGTGCTCGCCAGCATCATCATCCGCCTCGCCCTCGCCGAGAGTTTCGGCGTCAACTGCGGCCTCATCGCCCTCGACGAGCCGACGACCAATCTCGACAAGGACAACATCAAGAGCCTCGCCGAGAGCCTGCACGCCATCATCAAGGCCCGCCAGGCCCAGAGCAACTTCCAGCTCATCGTCATCACCCACGACGAGGAGTTTTTGCGGCACATGCGCTGTAGCGACTTTTGCGACAGCTTCTTCCGCGTCCGGAGGGACGACAAGCAGAACAGCGTCATTACGAAGGAGAGCATCACGAGGGTTTTGTAAAGCATTGCACGAGGGAGTGTGCGCGGGCGTTTGGCTGGTAATGAAAAATTGGGGGGTTCTGCTTTACGATGGGTCATGGCAAGCACGGCGTCCGGAGTGTCCTCTTTTTCCCCCACGTAGTTACTTACCCATGTAGTCGAGAGGACTACATGTGCCATCACCTTCGCGTTTGAGCTTGCGTGATGAGACCTCATGAGCAAAGACTGAATTTCACTCACACGTCTCTCATTCTCAAGCAACTTTTTTGATGCTGTGACGTTGTGGTTCAAGAACCCCCCCCCATTCTACGTGAAGGGTCGCCCAATTACGTTTCGTACCTGATCTCACCTCATGCAATTCCAAACACGCCGTGAATACCCATAACACTCAATGATGAGAAAATGAACTCGATAGGGGGGATTTAACGAGGAGTCGGTGAAAGCAAGCGAGCAGCGAGCGGTTCATGGTATCATAGCCTCTCCCAACACCTCTCCACAATAGTGCGCGACAGCCTCCTCAGCTCTCCGTCTCCGCCGTCCCCGTTTTCGTCTCGGTCTCGTTCGCAGTTTCGTCCGTCTTGACCTCGGCCTTGTCCTCGTCTCCAGTCGTGACCTCGGCGGCTTCAGTCTCCCTCTCCCCCGCCGGTTCCTCCTTGCCATCCTCCTCCCCCTTCGTCGGCGAGCCGACCGTGGCCTCGGACGCGTCCCCGGCCACGTCGCCGTCGTGTTCCTTGACCTTCTTGCTCGCCATGCCGTCGAGCTCCTCGTCAGCGTCGCGCTTGGGATGCGACGTGACGCTCGTGTCGGACGCCGCGTCGTCGGCGACTGCCTCGATGAGTGCGTCCTCGGCGGCGGCGGCGGCGGCGGCGTCCTCCTTTTCCGCGTCCTCGGACGGAGGCGTGGCGTGCGTCTGCTCCGCCTTCCGGCCAACGGCGGCCTCGACGTCGATGCCCTGCATCTCGACGCCGGGCCCACCAGCGACGAAGCTCGTCGTCTCGCTCTGCGGACCAAGATCGCCGACGCCAATTTCCTCGGGTCCGCGAGCGTGCGGAACCTCGTTCTCTTCTTCAGCTGCAGCAGCGCCGGCGGCATATTCTTGCTGCTGCTCCTGCTTCTGCTGCTCCTGCTTCTCGGGGCTGCCGGCTCTGCCGCCGTCCCCGCTTCGCAGGGCCGCGGCGTGTTGTGCTTCTTCTGCTTGTCGCACGAGTTGGTTGACTGGAACGACGCCCTGCTCCTGCTCTTGTCGCAGTAACTCACCTTGTGTTATCGCGCGGTTGCTGCTGCTTGCACCCATGGACGGTATGCCGTTGACGCTGACGCTGACGGTCTCGATGCTGCCGACGCCGTTGGGGCCGTCGATGGTCTCCGTCGACTCGGTGCGAATCTCGGCCGGGCCGCCCCCGTTGGAGGAGCCAGGCGAGGATGATCCCGGGCTCGGGCGGCGGGTGAGCCAGGGAATCGGGGTTAGTAGGGCGCCGCCAAGGGCCTCGTCCGTGCCGACGGTCGAGGCGACCGAGTTTGTCGAGTTGCTCCAGGCAACGGCTGCGGCCGGGTTCTCCTGGCCGTTGGAGCTGCCGTTGGAGAGCAGGGTCATGGTGGCCATGTCAGGTATGGCGGGCGGCAGCGGGTAGGTGTTTGCGCCGCTGGTGACGTGGACGACGCGGTCGACGGCGTGTAGGTACGAGGCCAGGTGGCGGTAGTGCCGGCGCGGCTCGAGCACGAGCTCGGCGAGGCGCTGGATCGTGTGCGGCGGGTACTTGGGGAAGGTCGACAGGACGGAGTTGATCTCGTCAAGCATGGCTGCGATCTGGGCCGGGAGAGACCCCGAGGCGGCGGCCGCCGCAGATGCATCAGCGGTGGTGTTGGTGGCTTCGTTTTCGGCGGGGACCGCTGACGATGATGGGGCGTTCGGCTTGCTGTTCTCCTTGTCGGCGTCCTGCGACGAGGGCAGGCTGCTGGCGGGCTCGATGGAGGAGGAAGGGAGCGGCGAGAGGAGTCGTGGTTGTTGGCCTGACGCGTTAATGGGTTGAGGAGGGGTGGGCAGGTTCGGGATGGGAAATTCATTGTGAGCGATCTATACATTCGCGATGCGAACTGGTGAGCGCGCCCTACCCAGAAGGTTTCCAAACATGTGCGGTCATGGGGGTTGTTCGGACGGGCTGGTCTTTTCGAAGCTGGCTGGGGGACGGGCGGACGTACCTTATCAAGCCTCGAGATGATTCCTTGCGACAGGGCTGGCCACAGACCGCTGTTGCGTCTCGCGGTTAGCAGATGAGCACAGAATTAAGAGAAATGTAAGCTGTTTCACGTACTAGTCCATCTGGCCACCCGTCGCGACCGTCCGCAAAAGGTCCTCGTCGACCTCAATCTCCATTCTGGCGGGTTCGGGGTTGGGGGTATTGGGCGGAGTTGGCGGTGGTTGAAAGCGCAGCCTTCCACTGACGTCGCGTGTTTTTGAAAAAGCGCGGCTGGCTGGCGGCAGGTGGTGCTAAGAACGGGAGATGCGCCGGAACGAGTACACCTTGCGCGCCCAAAACAAATCTCGCGGACGAAGAAAAAACCAATAATATGCAGTTGTAAGGAAAGAACTAGGTAACTCTAGCTAGCATTCCTTCCTCAATAGTAGTTAGTCGTAAAAGCAGTGACTCCGGTACGTAGCAGGTCGCGAAACTCAACACCACTGACCAGTGCAAAAAGTGAACATCATGATCGATGCAGGGATCGAACCTGCGATCCTTTGCGATGACAGACAGACTCGAATTCGAGTAATTCTGCACTTTACGCTAGAACCCCCCTTCCTCCTCCGCGATCAGTCCTCGTGCTACTGGGAAGACCAATTGAATGCAGTTGCGAAAAAAGCATAAGATACGTCTTCCATGATAAATCTCGGTCGCAAAAGTAATTATTGACCTTGTATTGGAACACGTTAGGCAATTTTCATTCCCCCTACATGCCACAAAAAGAATTCTTCTTGATCGATGCAGGGATCGAACCTGCGATCCTCTGCGTGTAAAGCAGATGCCTTGAACCGCTGGGCCAATCGACCAAGCCTGATTTGTTGTTTCGTTGAGGCTATTACTCACCCTAACAACCTTGGCAAATTCATCGAAGGGTGTTTAGCCGAGAAAATCTCTGGAAATTTCCCCGTTGCAATGATGAGTTTCCCGGCCGTTCACAAGAAATCCCATCAACACCCCCGTCTCGGCGTAGTTCAATCTTCCATGAGTTCATACTATTACGAAGTCCACGATCATTGTCATAGCATGTCTCATCCTCATTTTCTCGAAGGAACTCCCTATTTTCTGGGTCTTACCGTGAAGACCAGTGCTTACTTGGCCTGTTCTAGTTAGATAACTGATGTTAAGTAATGTCTTCCTACTTCACAATAATGCGAGAAGAAACAGCCAAGCAAGGTTTGGCCATGTTTGCTTTTTCGACCCCTATCACAGCAACCGTCCTTGGCCACTAGTAACAGCACTCTCCCTCCAGGAGACGAGTGACGACTTGATTGGATGTTGCAGTTCTCTCATGACAACTGAATTATTGTCATGCGTCACGCCTTTGTCGGAGTCTGTGTGGGTTGCTAATCAAATTAACCAGGAAGACTGAGTTAACACACAAATGCACTGGTTTAGAAAAGCAATGGTAGGTTGAGTATACCTACAATGTTGACGAAGGAGGACGATGTTGGTGCTGGGAACGAGTGGATAGTGATGGGTATACATCCTGGTTGACATTAGAATGCTTCTAGTTATCAACGACGTTTATGAGGAAAATAAGCTTAATGGTAGATATTTCGCATGATCAAAGGCGAATGAGACTTAGTTCGGTAAGCGTTCGCGTAGGGAACTGAAGCGAGATGGTCTGGATTGTGCAATCACCATAGAAGTGCTTGCTCATCTGCAACCAAGAAAATCCGTCAGGAATAAACTATAGCACGCCATACCTACCAGGTCGAACGCTTGCTGTCTTCCAGCGTAAATGGAAGTAGAGAAATGAAGCCATCGTTATTTGATGTATTTTTTTGGAGAACTTAAGCTATTTATAGATATCTGATCGATCCATCAAGGAGTTGACGAACCCATGTGCCATCCCCAACACCATACTCTCCAGATATTGACCACAAACCCACGACAACACACCCTTTAAAATAAGAACATAAATATCATTAAATAATTCAGAGAGTCTTCTATATAGCATGTTCTTCACTTAGCATATCTTAAATGCTGGAAGTGCTGGCGATGGGCTGACAGCAAGCAGCAGCCTGTTGAGCAGCCCCCTTTTTGTCACCCGACGGCCCACCACGGAGGTTAAGGACTAGTGCGCCACTTCGCCGGCTACTACTCATCCCTCAGTTTTTTAATCATTACTTCTCTCAGGTTTTTCATCAGAAGAATCAGAGTTGTATCAAATCAAGACTCGACTTCTATAAGTCTTGTTTTGAGGTTTTGGAGCGGTATTTGGGCAGCATTGACTTTGCGACCGGCACACTTTTCTTCCACCCGGGGCCGGCTTCCGCGGGACCCACCAGCCGAGTTTTGTACCAAGGTACCTAGGTACGTCACATTGAATGGTTCCAAAATATGAAGCTTCGACAGCTCTGCCGCAAACAAGAAACTAAAACACCACAACACAACACCATGCGAGGTCTCCGAGCCCCCAGTTCCCTCCTACGGGGCGCTAATGGCGTCCTCCCAGCTGCGCGAAGGTAGCCTGTGCCCTCCATCCCATGTAAAGAACCCCAATTGACCAAAAAACACAGCCAAACCCGGGCGCCGATCGCCGCTCGCCTGATCACAGCATCCAACGCTCGCCCTCAAGCGACGACAACAACCACCGCCCCCCTCGCGGCGCGCTCCTTCTCCCACTCGAGCCCTCTCCAGAAGAAGAAGAAGGCCCCGCAATACCCAACCTACGACTCCGCCGAGGTCGTCTCCCGAACCTCCCACACCGTCGACGAAGCCGACCACGACGACCTCCCCGGCTCCAAGCACCCGAAGCCCGACTCGTCCGACCCCCTCAACTTCGCCGACGTCGCCTCGCGCTTCTCGTCCCTCGCGGCGCACCACACCGAGATCCTCAAGAAGCTTCAGTCGGGCGACCGCTTCTCCCCGGACGCCATCGGCGCCCTGACCGTCCAGCCCGACCGCAAGGACCCGACGACCTACCCCCTCCGCGAGCTCGCCGAGATCGTGCCCCGGCCCGGCGGGCGCACCGTCTCCCTCCTCCTCCACGAAAAGGACTACGTCAAGCCCGTCATGGCCGCCGTCCAGGCCTCGGCCGACTTCAACCAGCAGCCGCAGCGCGACCCGGACAACGAGCTCGAGCTCATCCTCAAGGTCGAGGCCACCAACAAGGATGTCGTCGTGCGCCGGGCCAAGGACGCCGCCCAGGCGTGGAGGGACAAGATGCGCACCGTCACGGAGAAGCGCAAAAAGGTGCACGCCAAGTGGCAGAAGGAGACGGACATCGTGCCGGACCTCAAGAGGCGCGCCGACAAGGAGCTGCAGAAGCTGCAGGATAAAGAGATGAAGGTCGTCGACGCGGCGGAGCAGCAGGCCGTCCGGAAGATCCAGGGCTGAGGCTTGAGTCACCTCTGGCCGTTCTGCCCATCTCCCTCTCGCGGTTAAAGGACCCGTGGGTATGGGAGTACCGTGTACATGAATGTTTCTTTTTTTTTAAAAGGAGGAAATCTTTTTCCCGTGTTACCAAGGTGATGCAGAAAAGTCTCCGAAACGTCCAGTCTGTAGTGTACAGTAGAAGAGACTTTCGGATCTAAATGTACAACATTTTTGTCTTTTTCAAAAACCCCTCGCCTTAATCCTACAATGCTCGTCCTCTTCCTTTCGCTCACCCTCTGCGTGGCGTGGCGGTCATGACCGCTTCAGGGGATGAGGGGGGTCCTCAAGCCCTCGCGGCCTTGCCCCCGGCAGTGGGCTTCCCCTTGGCGACCAACGCCGCAATCTTGCCGTCAAACTTGCGCGCGTCGCCCGCGCCGTACGTCTCGTTGAGCAGATGCGACTCCCTCGCCATGCTGACCGGGTCCCGGCTGCCCCGCTCCACAAACTTGGCGGGCGTGTGCTGCCCCTTGACGACGCGGTCGACGACGTACTCCCTGACGGCCTTGCCGGCGCCCTCCTCGAGCTTGGCGGCCCGCACGGCGTTGACGTCGGTGCTCGCCGCGTCCTCGGGCGTCGTCCGCACGTCGTGGACGAACTTGTCCTTCTCGGCGAGGTCGCTGAAGAAGTAGGTCCCCTTGCCGCGGAACGCGAGCTCCGACGCCGTGTGCTGCGTGTCGGACCAGTAGTCGGGCGTGTAGTGCTTGCCGCCCGCCACCTCGCGGAGGGAGGTCATGACGGCGCCGGGGGCGGCGACGGCCGAAGACGAGCTGGCGATCGGCATGGACGGGACGAAGCCCAGCAGCCCCTCGACGCTCACCGAGGGCTTGAACGGCTCGGGCAGGAACCCCTGGTCGCGCGCCCGGACGTAGGTGTGCTCCTCGGCCGTCTCGGGGCGGAAGAAGCGCTCGTACGCCGAGGCGCGGTCGGCCTTCCTCTCCGCCTCGTTGGCGCCGTCCTCGCCCTCGCCCTCCCTTCTGCGTCCCCCGCGGCCCACGCCGCCACGGCCTCCGCGTCCACCGCTTCCTCCACGTCCACCTCCACGGGCTCCGAAACCGCCCCGTCCGCCGGGGCCACCACGGCCACGGCCACCGAAGCCGCCTCGGCCAGGTCCTCCGGCCGAGAACCCAGAGGGGAAACTGCGCCCGCGACTACCGGCGGGGCCTCCGCGCCCGCCACGCCCAAAGCCCTGCGGCAGCTTCACAAAGTTTGTTCCGCCGGGACCGCCGAGTCCGCCGCGGCTGGGCCGGTTCTTGATGTCAATGACCTTGGGCTTCGCACCCGCCCCGGCGCCCGCCTCGGAGGCGGCCGCATTGCTGTTCGCTCCGCCGGTCCTTGGCCCGCCTCTCAGAAGCTGGCCAATCTCGCTAGCGGCGGCGCGGGATCGTTCTCGTCCGGTCGATAGGGGTGCTCTCTTGGAAGGGGCAGCTTTGGCACTGCTCTTGTTGCCGGAGGAGGGTTCGTCTGCGGCGCGCAATTGGGTGGTGGTAAAGGTTCGGATGCACGTCTTGATGGCGACGACGTCTGGCTTTATGCGGCTGCCGGCCGATCGCAAAGCCTGCTGGTGCATTTTGGGCGGATTGGGGCGACAGGTCCGCGATCGTTGTCTGTACAGAGTTATGAGCTTCCTCGCTGAACTGATCGATCCAAGGAGCTGCCTCGAGAAAAATCTTCGTTACGTAAGCTATCGAGTGGCATGTGCGCCAATCCATCTGGACACGGACCAGCCTAGCTTCGGGGTAACCAAGTCGCTAAGCGAAGGTGCCTTTGCAAGAAACAACAACTCCAGCACCTCCTGCGCCTCAGGCCACGGATTTATGGCCAAAAGCCCAAGGCAACAATAACGTGCACATTGCAACCTGGTGAACCACGTTGAATTTTCTTGGGTATCTTCACATTAGTATACTCCGAGTCGGGAAGTATCAAAAGATACACGTAAGGTGTTCATCGTCAGTAGGGTCTGCTGCCCCGTACATTGCCCGTGACTCGTCTTCGTTCATATGCTTTCCCACCCCTCAGTACTCCAAGTCCTGTTCTTCCGAATGCTTTGCTCCTTCTCTCTCGCTCCGTATCAATGCAATTCCCATGAAACATGAAAGTCAATCCACCCTCCCAGGTTTTTTTTTAGGGGTCGGTTGTTCCCCTTTCCTTGAACGCCTTTCTGGCTGTTCATCTAATGCCTCCTCACCGAACACGTCTGGCGTAACAGCAAGCTCTCGCTAGCGTAAAACAGAAGAGTCCATCTCAGAAACTCCGGTCCGAGGTCCAAATCCACGGGCTCCTTGATGCTGGTGACACAACAGCGTGCAACTGGCAAGCTCTAGAAAGAGACCCCCCCCCCGGAGCCCAGTACTGCTTAAGTCGAGGCCCCGGATGCCACAGTGGTTGATGTTCTGTATTTTGAAACCAACTCCTCGATCTTGGGCATCAAGTCTGGTATTCTGAAGGGCTTGGAAATCACGTCGTCCTGCGAAGTCATGTTAGTCAGGTTCGTGGCGGACTAAGCCAAAGACAACTTACTATACCGGCGGCTTTCGCGCTCTCGATCTGCTCTGGCCGCGCGTAAGCCGTGACGGCAATGATGGGTATATGCGAGATAAGAGTTCCTGCCCGCTCTAATTCACGAATGCGTTTGGCGCACGTCATTCCATCCATGACCGGCATCTCTAGGTCCATGAGGATAACGCTGAGGTCGAATCCTTCGGCCTCTTTTCCGGCCCAGAAACGAGACTTTTTGAGCTGGTCGAGCGCCTCGCCCCCGTGGTTCGCGACGTGGGTGTTGTTGCCGCAGTTCTGGAGTTGTTTCCGCAGAACCCTCTGGTTCACAATGTTGTCTTCCACAATCAGCACGTCATAGAGCGGCGTCGCTGCGACGACCGGCTTCTTGTGAGACGCCCGCCTGGGCAGAGTTGTAGGCGGAGGCGTGGACGGAGCCGAGGCGGTCCCGCTCTTGATGGGTCGGGCCAGGTTGAGCGCTGAGAGGGTCGCCGAGTCTGAGCTTGGCGTTGCCGTCTTGCGACATTTGACATAAAACGCAAAGGTGCTGCCAATGCCCTTCTCGGAGACGACGCCAATCTGTCCACCCTGCAACTCGGCCAGCATCCGCGAGATGAAGAGCCCGAGGCCTGACCCGCCGTATTGCACGTGAGTGCGGGGGGAAGCCTGGGAGAAGCGCTGGAACAGAAGCTTCTTCTCGTCCTCGCGCAAACCCGGCCCCGTATCTTGCACCGAGAAGTGGAGATTGATCTCTTCCCCAGTGCCCCAGTCCTTCTCTTGAGTCAAGGCCTGAACGTCCTCCTTACGGGTCGGGAAAAACGAAACGCCCTTCTCTGTGACCTCGGTGATATTTTTGGACGCGCTCATCCTCATTGTGATCAGACGTTTCTCGCGGCCTTGCGTGAACTTGATGGCGTTGGTCATGAGGTTGATCAGGACTTGTCTCAACCTTGACGGATCCAGCCTGACCCAGTCGACACCATGAGTGATGTAGGCTTGGTCAATTGTAAACTCCAGTTTGATCTCGTGTGTGTTCAGCTCCGACTCAAACATCTTGATGACGTGCCTCACAATTGTAACGGGATGCGAGTCGACCGGAGTCACTAGCAAAAGTTGTGAGTCAAGCTTCGACAGGGTTAGGACATCGTCAACGATGCGCTTTTGATGACTGGCGCAAAGGTTGATGGTGCTAGCGGCTTCCGTACAGCCTTCCAGAAGAACCTCGAGCTGCTTGTCGTCGTGCTGCTGTGAGCGGTACTCGGCGATGCTGTTCACAATTTCGTCGGCGCACTGAAGCACGGCGCTGAGTGGGTTGCGCATCTCGTGGCTCGTGATGTCGATGAAGTTCTCCTGTTGGCGCTTGAGCTCGACTGCCTCTTCCCTGCGCTGTTTCTGGAAGTCCTCGGCCCATTTTTGGGGCGAAATGTCCGTGATGCAGGCGAAGATGCTCTTGAGGTTGCCATCCTCGGTCTGCTCGGGGAAAGCGCTCATCAACACCCAAGTATCAATAGTGTTGACTCCGTTTTGGCGGCTGCATTTGAAGCGGAACTCGATCGTCATGGCTTCCTTTTCTTCAATGAGCTTCCTCCAAGAGCGCTCGACACCCGGGCGATCTTCATCCTTGATGCTCTGCATCCACGTATTGACGCTGTCTTCTGTTCTCGGGTGTCGGGAGATCTGCCACCACATGTCGTTGGCGAAGTTGATGAGTCCCTTGTCGTTAGCAATGAAGATACCAACCGGCGCAAATTCCGCCATTCGCGTAAACTTGTACTCGCTTTCGACCGCCTCTTGCGTCCTCAGGTACAGCTCCATTTGTAGTTCCTGACGATCCAGCGCGGCCAGGCGAGCAGCCCTCTGACCCCTCCTGATCTCTTCTTCGAACAGCACGACCGATGCCATCGACGTCGCTAGCTGTCTCGACAAGAGATGGATGAAGAGCTGGTAGTCATCGTCGTACGGCCGACGGGGATTGGTGCCCAAGATGATGAAACCAACGACAGACTCGCCGGCTGTGGTGGGATGAACGGGAAGGATGACAATCGTCTTTGACGGGTCACCGAAGCCCCTCCATTCGAGACCTTCGAGCAGCTTGGTCGGGAGGTTGCCTGCCTCTGACGATAGGATGATGGGTGCTCCTTGCATCGTCATGGACTGCCGCATGTAGGGTGCAAAGCCTTCATCTGAAGACTTGAGGTCGAGATGAGTGAGGGCTGTTGGGTGTCCCTCGGGAACGCCTAGGCTGCCTTCGAGGTGCAGCAATGGTGGATGCGCTATGCTCCCCGAGTGCATAGAAGACACTTCGCTTTCGCTATTGTCGTCCTTGACCGAGTAGATGAGGGCGAGAGGCACGTCCACGTCGTTGAATTCTAACCCTTCCTTTACTCGTGCCCAGAAACCCCGGACGTCTTTAGCAGCGGCCGTTTTCTCGCCAACCTCACGCAACGTAAGCATGCGACGTTCATTGACCTTGCGACGGGTGTTTTCGAATGCCGGATTGTAGAGTCCAACTACCTCACCATCACTGCCCAGCAGCGGAATAATAGACCATGAAAAGAAGGTCTCCTCCATGAATCCGTGCCGCTTGATGAAGAGCTGGTTGTCGTTCTTCATGACTGACTGACCGTTTGTCCAGGCGCTGCTGAAAAGATGTTCGAGATCGTGCCATATCTCTGGCCAAGCGTCTTGGTACCTCATGCCCATGATTTTCGGGTGCTTCGAGCCGGCAAGTTCTATATAGGCTTCGTTGTAGATGATGATGTTGTCTTCTCCCCAGTACATGGCAGCTGGGTGAGGACTGCCCATGATCATATTGGCCATGGTCCGCAGTTCTGGACTCCATTGCTCTATGGGGCCCAGGGACGTAGACGCCCAGTCGGTATTTCGACAAAAGAGGATGTGGTCGCCCAGATCTGGAGTGGCTTGAATGCGGGTCCAGTCGAAAGACGGCTTCGCCAAGGCTGCCTGAAACACCTGTTGAGTGAACTCGTCGGAGTGGTACTTCTCGCCGTTGTCCCTCATCACACAGTCGGTCACATTCGACGTGTCGTCGATATCATGAGACTCTGGTTCGATGTCGCCAAAGTAATCGGGTTCATCGTCCATGGGTACGGTGGACGGTTGGTTTGGTGTCGGTCCTCTGCTCCGCTGCTCAAGAACGGCAGACTCTTCGGCCAGAGGGCCAGGGGAGTCGGGAGCGGTCGATACGGCGCTCGTATTGCCGCTCACGAAGCGAAAACGTTTGCGCAAAGTCGAGCAGGTCCATGTGATGCCACCATAGCTGTGGGAAGGAAGACACACGTCCAGCGACTCGTGGTTCAAGACAAAGCTGGTGGCCCATGTTTTGAAGTGGACGTAGTCGGGGTTGCTGACGGCGTCTTCGCCCTCCACAGACAGTAGCTCCAGAACGCCCGCCGATGCCCGGAGTGCCGCATTGGCATAGAGTAAGTGCAGTCCCGACTTTTGCGTGTTGACTGGATTCGCAAGATCGATGATGAAGGTCGGACGCTCGTCCTGCTCCAGGAGCTCCACTACTCCGACTCCTCTCAGTATTTGCAGTCCTTGCGGAAGATTTTGGCTGTTTGGACTTTTTGCAGAAGACGTAATCGTCGCATCTGCGGACGAAGACAAGCTACTACTCCCCGGAGTGCTGCCGGATCTGGCTGGGCCTTGCGCATGAACGGTGCCGCGGGGGAGTCGAACAGTGTGGACTCCCTCGTTATCCTCCCTCAAACGGGCCAGCAGGACAGCTGCGGCGTCTGAGGGGGGCAGAGGATTCGGTCGAGGGGCATCTGTCGTCGGTTGGAGGAGGAAAAGAAGAGAGGGGAGATGAGCCCTTGGTTTCGCCTCGCCAGAATGGCGGAAGGGTGAGGTTGCTTGGGAAGGGAGATGAACCGAGGCGGTCCCAGGCGAGTCCGCGGCCTCTTGAGAGGCGAGGGCTGTGTCTGCGCGGCGCCCGACTCTTGGTCCGACTGGCGCTTGCCCTGCGACGTTGTTGTATACCTTGGCGGGTGGGATGGTTCGGTATGCGATCTCACAGTCGGGGAGGTGGGATCTGATGTGGGCGTCAAGAGGGACGTGGAGAGGGCGTCAAATGAAGGATCGCAAGTTGGGTCGCTATACGTCAAACCATAACGACTTATGTCAGGCGTTGTCCATTGCCCTCCCGGACTGAAGTTTGTGAGGGTTGGCGAAGCAGGATGGTAGCGAGGGTTGCTGGACTGGGAACCCGGGGCCTGGCGGTTGACGGTCGAGGCGGTGGGGGAGACGGAGGCAGAGGCCTCGGGTGTCGCAGCAGCAGCGGCGGCGGCGGCGGCGGCGGCGGCAAAAGGGTTCGCCGTCGTCGTTTTCGTCGTCTTCGTCGTCGTCGTCGTCGTGATGGTAGGGGCGGCGATGTATCCCGAGGCACGATAGGGTCGGTGGGAGGTGGGCGAGGGCGAAAGCAATTGTATGGTGGGTTGTGGGAAGCGATCGTCGCCCTGCGGCATGAATGCGCGGGAGGAAGGGTTGAGGATGAACGGCGGCCGCGAAAGTCGGACCGGTCTAGAAATTTTCGTCTCGTGCCTCCAGCTCTATGGTTCTCTTCCCCTGCCGAAACTAGAGTGATTCCCTTTTAGCGACAGCGGAGACAGAGTTGAGGCAAGTGCAAAAGTGAAAGGCACCAGGCCAGCACGGACAAGGAGGACACACAACACAAGACGACACGGACAGGCTCAGGTGCGGTTGTGGGTTGCCGGTGCAGGTGCAGGCACAGGCCGCCCAACAAGCCAGCAGCAGCACAGGCGCTGTGGGATGATGGACGGGCAAGTAGCAACTAACTCTGTCTAGCATAGGCACAGCGGTAGGGGGGAGGAGCTTGGTAGCGAATCACAAAGGCTGCAGGGAGATGGGGCCTCGTCTCCACCTTGCTGCCGGGGGTGAGGATGGTTGGCGACCGAGGCGCGGGAATCTCGATTGAGCGAGGATTCGACGGGCCCGGGGCCATTGAGAGGAAGGGGAAAAGGCCTGCAAGCATGGAGTCTAGAAGGGACGGTGGCAGGCTGGCGGCGACGGGGACGACTGGGACAGGCGGCTTTGAATTGGGGGGAGGCACGGTGACGGGGGTGGGATTGGGTTGACAGTGCAGGTGCAGCGACCGGGGGGGGGAGGAGGGCGGAGAGGGGGGGACAAGAGTTGGGGGGACAAGAGTTGGGGAAGGCGACTTGACGACCGACGAAGAGAAACTGCAAATGCAACTGCAGATGGCGCTGCTGCCACTGGCAACAGACTGGAAGTGACAAGCAGCTCCTTGCGACAGGGTATCGGGTGCAGTTGCCGCGCGCTTTCAAAAGCTAGAGCAGCCACGCCGGCAGCCGTGACGGAGTAAGGGAATCAACCACAGTCGTAGCGCGGGCAGAAGAAGGGGCGGGAACGGGAAGAAAAGATGGGATTTACCAGGATGAGGATAAATGTAATCCAGTCTACCGGCAATCTACACCACACACGACGTGCGGTGCACGAGATGCGCGGCCTTGGTGTACTTGGTGGTGTTGATTGAGGGCTGCTACCTAGGTAAGGTAGGGTAAAGTCCAGTGCCAGGTGCGACGCGATGCGTCAAGCGTTACGGCAAGGCGAGGCGAGGCGAAGCAAGGCAAGGGCCACGTCCGAAGCCAAAGAGGAAGGCAGGGTATGGATGGTATGGATGGTCCGGCGAGGCAGGCGGACAGGCGGACAGGCGCATCGACGCAGCAGCGGGCTGACAATGAGATGGGACGAGGCGGGTTTGCTGGTATCGCGTTTTGGTCGTGGAGCAGTCAGTGAGTAGTGTGTTGATTGATGTACGTGGATCGGGAAAGTTGGATCGAGACGCCGTATGGGAAATCGGGATCTCGATGTCTAAAGAGGAGTCAAGGAAAGGGAACGTCGTATTGGCGCATGTTCGGGTTGCGTCTCTCTTTCGGTCTTTTTTTTTTTTTTTTCCTGTCCTCCTTCGCTCCTCTGGTCTTGTCTGGCTCGGTTTAGACTTGGACCGGTTCGGGATGGTCTCGCAAAGGCAAGGCGCTGCGGTGCTAGGTCGGTACGGTGGGCGCGGGCATAATACAGGGACGCAAGGCGGCAGGTGAAAGGCGGCGAGGGGCTTTTTGGCAGCTGGCAGGTAGACGGCGGACGCGGGGAGAAAGAGCGAGCATGGGGTGAAGATTGGAGTTGTTTGGGACCATGAGCCTACCTAGGAGAAGAGGAAAGGGGACGAAAAGGTATTGGTATTGGTGTACAGAGAGAATGAGAGAGATACACATTGTGCCGGCTACGGAGTCAGAGTATAGTACAGGTAGACCGATGCCGCTCCTTCCCTCCCGTCCCGTCCATTCTTGGGGGAAGCCAGTCCACCCCTTCGCTATCTTTCCCTTCCCTTTTCTTTATTTCCTTCTTTCTTGGACACGGCACCTCGCTTTCCCGTGCCTCGTCCTTGCCATGTTTCGTCCTCCACATCTCGCATGGGAACATATCTACCTTGACCTGCCCACGCTACGTGTAGCCCCGCCGACAGTGCCATGGACGGAAACATCAGCAGGAATGCTGGGCCCCTCTCAATGTTGGCGACTAGCGGATCACAAAAGAGCAACACAAGAAAAAAAGTTGGGTGCGTTGTGAGTGAGTGAGTGTGTGTGTGTGTGTGTGTGTGTGCGTGTGTGACCTGCAGTATGTGGAAGAGCGCAACGGGCGTGTGTTTGTGCGAGGAACAAGTGGTGGGTGAGGAGTGCTACGCTAGGCTTGGGACGGACGGCGACATCAGAGGTTCGCATTGGGGCATTGGCTGGCTGGGGCTGGGGGCGGAGCTGTACAGGAGGGGCAGAGTGGTATTTGGACCTGGGTCTGGAATCTCTGGATTTCTTGGGACCTTGGAGACCCATTTCCACCTCCCGGTGTCAGGCGAGCTTTGTGATCCAGCCGCAGCCGAGGGGGCTTCTCCTCGCGGCCTCACTTGCTCCTTTGTGTCCACCCGCTGGGGCTGCTGTCTGCCCCCTGTGCTGTCTGTCCTGCATTTTCCTCCAGCCGTGACGCTGATCCGGTCCCGGTCTTGGTAGACTCAGGAACCCCCGACCCTCGTTGTGTACATAGTGTACTACTATTATACGTGCTGCACCTTTGGAGGAACACCACCCAGAGAACCTCAGTACCACCTTGCCGTGCCTCGGTCGCCGCGAAGCAGTCACTAATTAAATACTCTTCCACTTTCTGTACCATGTATTCTTGCTGTGTTTTTTGTTGTTGTTTTTTTGTTTTTTTTTTGGTCTGCTCACAGTCAATATCCGCCAGCTACCCTCGTAGACTAGTGTACCACGGTAGTTCCGCCCGTGTTCTGCAGCTGCCGTACCTCCACAACCTTCCAGGATGTGGGATTCCTTGTCCATGTCCACTACATAGTAAACCACTCCCACTCCGTACAGTGCTGTACAGTGTAGCGATCACCCGCCATTCGAAGTGCGGGCCCGCGAAGCCGCCCTAAATGTGTGGTGTTGGGCGAACAGCTCAGGTAGCGGGCAGGCGGCGCTCTTCGGTACCACGAGGAAAGCATAACTCCCGCCGGACGTATTGATTCTCGTAGTCCGAGGGGCTACTGACTGGGTCAGGCACCTGCGGCACCCATTCCCGCCGAGACGCAGATGCAGACGCACCGTACCTCGTGTGGTAGGTGCACATTTCCCGTCACGACGCTGTTGTAGTGCCTCGTGGCCTCGTGGGACGGCAGATGGAAGCATTTGAGAACAGTCCGAATTCTGGGTCGGGTGAGGTCACTGAACCTTGAGGGGGGGACAGTGTCGATCAAGGGTCCTCGGACATGGCATTGATCATCTAGTGATTCGTCTCTGCCGGCGTCCTGTTTCGGTTCTTGCCTGTCTTGTTTATATTAGGCAGGAGCAGCCTAGAGACCCTACTTGTCAGCAAGCATTCGTTTGATGTTCTCGGCAAGCCCCCTACCCCCGGGTCGGATTCCACGCCACCGTCTTCGTCTTTGGCAAAGTGCCTCGAGTACTAATAGCGCCCAGGTTTGCCTGCAGTCAGCTGGTGAGTCTTCGAGATATCCACGGATCGCCATTACAAAGCAAGCAAGAAAGAAAGAAAGAAAGAAAGAAAGAAAGCAAAAAGGAGGGAGCAGATCCCTGAAGATTGGGGTGGCGCCGCTGAAACGTGGGGAATGGAAGGGAAACGAAAAGATATAGTACTGTTACTTGAAGCTTTGCGCAGAGATGGTATTTGACCAGGGCATGCGCAGACGGCATGGGATTTCTTCTGCTCCACTCAAGACACCTCAGCATCAAACTTCGCGCCTGGCCGTGATACTTTTTGCCCTGCTGGGCTTAGGCGCGCACGATGGAGGCCGACTTTGTGAGATGATGGCACGCTGCAAGAGCTGCGACACGCAGCCGCCACCAGTTCAAGTTGCGACACCGGGTATCTCGGTAACGTACAGCACAGGCTTAAGCACCTTTGGGAATTCCGACGATGGCAAGACGGCATTTTTCCAGTCACGGCTGGGTGATGGGCAATCTTGTTGCAATGATATTGGACTTCGAATTCGAGACAGTGCTGCTCATGGCAGATATCGGATGTCAAGAGGAACTACAAGACAAGATCAATGAGGGCATATGGAGCAGTGCTGAGTACGTGCTGCAGATAGGTATCAGACAGATGCCCGAGGGTGCTTGTCTCGCCTGCCGTGGCTAATATCACACCTCGGGACTAATGTGACTTGTCCTTTGCGGGCAAACGGTTCGCGGATCCTCGCCCCGTGTCTCTCTTCCCATCCACAGGAATGCATCCTGGTAGACGCGGCCTCTTTGAGTCATCTGGGAACGAAACGGGAAGCGGTGACAAACAAAGAAAGAAACGACCGCACACATGCAAAAGCCGTCCGCTTCGGTGCTGTCTACTTGCCGCGCCTCGTCTCTGCATGTCAACACCACTGCGATAATGGCATTATTTTATCTGTGCTGTATCCGTACAGGCCTGCACTTCCCTTGAGCACAAGCGTCCAAGCCGACAGGCAGAGGAGGCGACCCCCAGACCAACCCCGAAGGTACAGTACAGGTATGAAAGTGATGTGCGCACATCGGCGAGTCAACCGCCACGGATGAGCCGGGTGCCTGACGGCATTTGACAAGCCTGACGTCACTCGAGTTCCACTGGGGCATCTACGATAACAGCCCGTTTCGTCTCGCCCGCGTCTCTTCAGTCCAAAAAGACTCCTCATTCCATAAACAGCACCATTGCGATGGTCGTCGGCAACGGTTCAGATGCATCAAGAGAGACCCCGGTAGACGGAGTGGGTGGGAAAGAGCGAAGCATTTCAAAAGGCCCCGCTGTCAAAAAACACTAGGAGACCTCCAGGCAGGGGCTACCCTTGTCGATCAATCCCCTAGTCCCTTGCTCCCCTGTCGGCTGCGGCCTGGCGCGGTCCAGACCGTGATCGATTCCACCCTGAGCTCGCCGATCGATGATCATCACCTGCCAGTCGCCAGTAGCCCATTGCTACGCTCCCGTCTCATTGGTCTCAATCCGGCGCAGCCCGTCGCGTTTGTCTGTGCTTGCCCTTTTCTGTCTCTATTCTGCGACTGTCCTTTGCCCTGTCTTGCCAAGCTTACCTACAGGTCAGGCAGGTTGCTAGTTGGGTTCAGCATCAACATCAGCATTTTTCCCCAACGTCCCTCGACCTATCCAAAGTCCACTTAATGACATGTCGACGACCGCGATCTTTTCCAGCGCCAGCTCGCAGTGCAACGTTGTGTCCGGTCAGCACCCAAGCCACCTGGGGTGTGTCTCAGTCGCGCTCAATTATCGCAACCGGCCATGGCTTTCCATACCATACCCCACATCAGCGCACCGGTCGGTGTGAACAAGAACATCCTATCCCTCTTTGTACCGCCTGGGAGTCGAGTACTTCGCATATCAATAGTATGGACATTTATCAAGGTACAGCTCCAGTCCTGAGGAATGTCGATGTACCTGGCGTCTTGTTTGGAACCAAGACCAGCACCCGTTTGAGACCAACACACGTCATCGCCCAATGACCTGAAGCTACCGCTGTCCGTGGCTGCCCGGCCTCGTACAGTGACAGACCGGCCGCCGCTAGGTCGGCTAGGTGGGACCATGGCCATCACATCAAGTACTCAAGCTCCCACCGGCGCTGTATGTCCTATCGAAACATCAAAGCACGCTCGCATCCTCTCGCCGAGACATGCTGGCCGCTATGCGAGGTGTTGGAGACCCGCGCAACCACTGGCCCCAAAAGGCGACCGGCATGCAGTCAAGTCTCACACCAACTTCAAGCTCTCCCAAGTCTCATCTCAGGGCTGGAGAGACGTCAAAAGGCACTGTTGTCGGTGGAGGGATGAAAAACATTCCCAGCCCTTCAAATGATTTGCCTGCATGGATACCCGCAGGAGCACCTGCATCCGTCTCTATTTCCCTCTCATTATCCCGATAAGCAGGTGGCAGAGATGGCCTTTCCCCCAATGGTTTTACTTTGACGAAAGATACGTGCAAGATGCGCCTCAATAGTCTTACATGCTGCTCCGGCGTGCACTCCGGCGGGTTTAGCCAATCGGCAGGCACAACTCCAATCCTCCGTTCCGACGAAATGTCCCGGTTCAACAGCCGACGACGTCCTGCACACACTGGCGCACCGGGCACCAAGCTGCTTTGGCCGCGGGTCGCATGCACAGTTCAGCGTCAATAGATATTAGAAGGGCCCAAACTTTGGAGCCGCCTTCGTCATCCCGTCCGCAACGGCGTGGACCACACTCGACAGGGCCATCAACTAGTTGTCACGCTTGGGGCTGGTGCTGGCCAGTGTTGGATCTGGTAACTGAGAGGTAAGCATCAGCCCTACTGTAAGCTTGTCAACGGCCTCATTCCGCTACTTGCGACGCAAGGAGGGACGATTCACAAGATTCCTCATTATCTATCGGAGTTGCGGAACTCACACCCCTGTGGGACCGGGCGCGGGGCTTGCTCCCCGTTTTCCTCGTTCAATTGCTTTTCTGAATCAAAGGGACCGTGTCTCGTCTCACTCCTCCCTCTCTATACATGGGAATTTCATTTCCGCCACGGCCACGAGGCGCCATCGGCACAGTCCGAGGACTCCTTAATGCGCGGCTCCGACGTCAGTGCCACAAAGCCGCACCTGAGTGCTGGCTCGGCGTTGGCCTGCGCGAGAGTTTGCATTTCCCCTGATATTGCCGCAAGTGGACTTGCAAAGTGTCCTGTCGGTATGTTGACATGGTTGGCTCTTCACGAAAGTCCATCCGAATGAGGCACTTACGTGCTTGTCAAATTGGCCTTTCAACCTTTGCTAAGTATACCACTGTCGATCGCGAGTCAAACCTACATGTGATTAACGGTGGCGATGGACGGCATAGGCCAGGTGCAGTAAGACGACAACGAGGCGTGATGAGAGCCAAGCTTCCATCCTTGTGGAAGTTTTCCATCCCTCGACCTCTATTAATATCTCGGTGCGGCATCCTTCGTGACTACCGACCGATCGGATCGTCGCTCACATAAGCTCTAAAAACCCACAAGTGTGGTATCTCCAATAACACCTCAGCCTGTCTTACCTCCGCATGTGGCATCGAGGCTGGTTCACTTGATTGATAGCAAGACCAGCTCATGTTATGTCTTGTGCCTGCCATGTACTGGCCTGTTGCCTCCTGTGTGACGCTGCATTTCGGACTGTTGGATTTTCCTGCCGTTGCCGCTGTCTCGGGGAGTGTCCATCGCCATATCGCTTCATCACATCCGGATATCGCAAGGTCTTCAGCAGGCGCTTAAGCCTTGCCTCATGCGCGGAAGAACCAACAGAAGCACGCTGGAGAGTTTCGATACGGATACATGTAGTAGCAATCACCTCGCATTGGGGCAAAGGCTCATGCTCACTTGTCCCTGATTTCTGCCGCATCTCCCGTTGCATCGCACAAGCATCGCACGAAAAAAGCTGATCTCACCCTTCCCCCCAAGTTCCCCCCAGCCATCCACCGGACATCCCATTGGCAATACCCCCAATTCTCGCCCCCCCTGTCCTCGTCGAGGCGGGTAATGTGCCCAACGTCGCGTCTCGCCGTTGCTATTGGCTGATTCCACCCGGGGCCGACCAATGGAACGGCCCCTCTCGAACCCGGCGCTTAACCGCCCTCCTCACCTCCGCTCCTCATTGGATCTGCCCGCTGTGATGGCACCGTCTGTAATCCACGGCACATGCAGCTCAGCGGTCCAATGCCCGCGACCCTAAGCTTACCCGGCCACCCGCCGCCCACCTGTTTGCCTGCTTGCTCGCTTCCCCCCTCCCCCAAGGCGAATGGCGATGAGTGAATGGAGCAAATGGAAGGGTTACCTGAAGAGGGTGAGGTTGAATGGCCCTTAAACTGCCACCCTGCCCCGACCCGGTAGGAGGCTCCTTTTCTCTCGTGGTTTCTTTCCATTTGCCTTGAAGAATCCGACCTGTCCAACCGACGACGACGATCCAAGCGAACCCTACGGACTTTTGCTTGCATTGATTTGCGGTTTTCCATCGGGATTGAGTGCTGGTGCTTGACCGATGTAAAGCCTCCTTGTTTGCTTCGGCGATAATTACGCCTCGACAAAAAAAGCGAAGTACATAGGCGTCCCTTTCTTGGCAAAGGGCGTCAAGGCTCGACAACGAGAAGAGTCCTTGGATCTCTCGATTCGACAAACGCAGAAACTAGGAACTGCGTTATAAGCATTTGCGGCACGATAAGAAGACAGAAAAAGGGACAACGAAACGTTACAAAATGACATACCAGATCTTGCACAGGAAGTGGCTGCTGCGGCCGTGGATGTGGACGCTGATGCCGCTCGAGCTCGCCGGCCTCGTGCCGCTCCTCGTCCTCTTCGGCATCGCCCAGCCGGACCTGTACCGTACTAAGCTCTGGGAGGTCGGCTTTCACTACGGCTTCAACTCGAACCCACAGATGATTCTGTATGCGTACGCCAACTACGAGCCGTATCCCAATGTCCCTTTTGTATGGACACGAACGTAGGTTCTCCCCATCTCCTGCTGTTCCCATGCTCTCTCTCATGATGGGATCCCTCTCGGGCATACCGGTAGCAGTAGAGCTGACAAAACTCGACCCGTAGCCTCACCGACTTCAACGTCGCCATCTCCGTCATCACCCTCTTTCTCCTCCTCGTCAAGCTCATCGCCTTCATCATGAAGTTCTGGTTCCCCATGCTCGCCGCGGGCCTCAACCTCGCCATGGTCGCTCTCTACACCGTCTCCGTCTACGGCCAGATGGGGCCTGACCACGCCGACCCGCGGTACCCCTCCAACGTCGCCTGGTACATCGCCAAGTCGTGCGACTACGCCCGCCCGTTCCGCGCGTACAAGTCGTGCCAGCTCGCCAAGGGCACGTTCGCCGTCACGGTCTACATGCTCGCGCTGTACGTGGCCAACCTGGCCATCGCGCTGTACGTGTGCTGGCCGAATGAAGGGGACAAGGCGGGCGCGGAAGACGACTACGGGAGCGACAGCGGGAGCGGGAGCTCGCCGTCGGACTACATCAAAGAGGGGAGGGACTGGGAGATGAGAGATATGAAGGGGCCCGCGAGTCCGAGGGTGATGCCGTTCACGCCGCGGACGCAGGCCTTTCACACGCTGGACAGGAAGTTGCCGCTGAGGCAGCAGTATAGTTGAAGTTGTACTCCGAGGTCACCCGAGAGCCGGGGGGACTGTCGACGAGGTTTTTTTGATTTGTGAGCTTGTGTCGGTGGCTGTGGCCATGGCGGCAATGATATATATCCCTTCTTTTTACGATCTGCGGAGGCACCCGGCGTGATTTTACTACCTTTTTTTTTGTTTATTTTACAACCTACCATACTCTTTTAAACAGAGGTCCGGAATTGCCGGCGGCGGGATGTCATAGGAACAGTCCCGGAGTAGGTCAGCTTCTACCAGGGCGGCTTCGCTTGGAGAAGAGAGAGTAAGCGTGTGTGTGTATAATACGCAAAGAGCAACTCTGCTACAATGGCACTCCATTTACACCGCCTGTAGTCTGCCGTGGGCTCGAGGATGATGATTGGGGTTTCTGGACGTGTCTTGTTGCGATGGCCAGATTGGTACATTGCCAACGGCACGGGATCCAAGAGACAGGTCTACCTCTATCCGGTGACAAGCACTGTTTCGTGCTTCAACTGAATGTGCCAAGAAGCCTGCTGGAATGCTTCACGAAAGGTCTCGGGATATCGAGGGCAAGTTAACCCCCGCTGCAACAGGCCTTCGGCATGGAAGAAGAGTGGCCCCTTTTTTTTTCTTTGACCCTGTGGCGATCTCGGCCGATCGTTCGTACTTTCATGCACACATCACCATGGTTGTCTGTAACCCGCACCGAAACACCGCCTTTCTCAGGCATGATACCCCAGGGACCTTGCTGACTTCGCTATCAGCCGCATACTTTTCTGACAGGCGGTCATCATACCTACACTCCTGCGCACGTCTCATGCCGCCCTTCGGCGCCGTATTATGTCTCACCGTGAATAGTCGGGCAACGAGGAGAGCAGAGGGGCTTGAGTTATGAGCTGACTTCTTTTTTGAGATGCATCTCCAGCCAATAGTATACTTGCTGGGATATCACAGCATGTTCCGCGCATGAGTGGTAGACATGCGAACTACTTCGCCCAACATATAGCAGGGTCTACCGGAAAGAACAGGGCCTGTTTTCAGATAACCGAGTAACCCGGATTCCAGCGAGAATGACGACGCCTATAGGCTCTTGGGCGTCTCTTGCATGTGTTGATCGAGGCATCCACCTTCCGTAGTTCTCGACAAGCAGAGAGGCGTAGCTTTTACGGGGCAACGGGGGGGGTGTCTCTTCTCGTTGCAGTACCTATTGTTTGATACATCAAAACACAATACATATTCTACCACGAGACGTCTGACTAATGTCTTGTAGAGAAGAGCTGGGCGCGATGTTGCTGTGACTTCAGAAAAGGGGGCGGAATTGATATCGGTGCACCACTCGTGACATGGAAGGTCAGAGCTTACTTCTAGTACCGTGTTTGTTTTGCTGGAAGTAGGAATATCCCATCTGAAATGGCGGATAAAAGTGTTGTGCCCCATGCTTAGTTCTCACTTTCAGGGTGTTTGGATCCCCTGAGAAGCGTCTGCCAGAGAATCAAACGCAAGTGCGAAACGAGGCCAGAGGATTGTCTTGACTACATGCCCATGTTATTTACAGGCGCATGCGGCAAAATCGTTGTTTCCCGTGGACGCAGAGGGTCCGCATACTCATATCGCGCAGTACTGGTTACTAGACACAATCCTAGAAACGTCGTAACCCAGAACTCGAAATGCCCGTGTAGGTACTGTCTGGCGTGGCCATCTTACTTTCCGACGTTGGCAGTGTATTACCACCCAAAGACGTTTCCACGTGTTCAAGCTGAATATTGAACTGTGAGGCCAGCAGTGATAACAGAGTCTTGGATTGAGTTCCAGTCCTTGATTATATGCACTTGATGTAAATGGTGCTTTGAATAGTAGCTGCCACCATCAAGTCAACCATACGCAAAGACGCGCTTATGGCACCAACCCGCCTTATAGTATGGCACTTTCCTTCTGCTGTAGGCTGTATATGTTAGCGTTGGGTATGTATTACGTTCAGATTTAAGCAGGCCCACCCAAAAAGGGTCACTTAGGATATACTAAGAGTAAGGGGGCTGGGACATGTAAAGTGCGTTCCCGCCGTAATGAGCTTTCTCGCTTTTATGAAAGGCTATGAGGGAATGTGTCATGCTTGTGATGTTGGTCAAGTGTGTTGCTGGAAACCCGATCGTTCCATCTCAAAGTATACACTTTGACACCATCCTGTAGCCCACACTCTGCTGCCACTGAGGGATAACGGGCCCTAGCATTCTCATCTCTTTGTCAATACCAGAGGCCAGCAGTTCTGACGTTTTGCATTCGTCGTGTGATTCGAGGACTACATAACCCCAGTTGTCCTAGCGATTACGCCAACAACTTCATCAACACAGAGAAACACACAGCGAGCACGGTCAGCATATTGGGCCCTCAACCAAACTGACTACTATCTGAAGTGTTGCTGCGTCTCATACCTGTGGCCTTGACGCGTCTCTGGTGCTCCGCGTCCCACCTCTATCAACGGCTGAATATAACTAACTCCTTGCAGAGATACGTAGGTGCAACTGGTAACGTGTAGAGAGCAGTGATTATCCACGGCCTAGCCATAACTTTCCCTGAGACGAGGACCTGGGGTCATTCCTCCGTAAGTAGACTTACGACTTGACAAACATAGATTCGTTTGGTGATGGACATGGCCGTGTTCAGACGCAGCTGTGGAAGAACGGTCCTTGCCGGCTGATCGAATACACTCTGACCAACGCCTCACATCCGGCAATCCCTGGTTCTCCGCTCTTCGTCTTCGAAGAGGCAATACAAACGCTCAAAGTTGAGCATACGCAACAAAGAGCTTCCTATCCTGCTTTGTGGAGCTCTAGACCGGATGAGTTGAGGATGATCCAATAAGCGTAGAGTTGATTCTATCAACATGAAAGCGAACGACACAACCCCATGGTACAATGCTTTCTCAGATTGGCGGCAACCCACAAGGTTGTTGAGTTGATGTCGGTGGTTATAGCTAGGAGGACTGAGGCAGGTAGTGTGGTTTGTAGTTGGGGCATGGTCACCAAGAGCGAGAACTGATGCATGTCTTCGCACACAGAACTCCGAGAGCAGAGTTCTCTGTGCGAGGAATTCCCAGCTCAGCCAGCTTCTTGCCGAGTCCCGGAGTGCTGGCATCTTCAAATTTCACTTGCCATTCGCAGCTCCATTGTCTATCCACTTCTACCAGCGTAGTATACAAACAGAGTTTTTCCCTCTAGATCCCTGGACAAGAGAAACATGTTGGCAGGAGCAAACCGGTCGCATCTTAATATCAACCAGGCTGCAGGAATCGGACCTTTTCCCGCTGTCTCCTCTGAAAGCGTCGCTTCCTCTCCACAGCACAGGCACGATCAACCCAGTCAACGCATCTCCACAACATGCACAACGGAGATTTAAGTGTTCCCAGTTGCCAGAAAACAGCCCACATAGCGCCCCTCCACTTCCAAGGCTAGAACATGGACCATCTTGGAAACCATGATTACGTGCAGATCCACTGGACGGTGGGTAAAATCCAACAACACCTCAAGCGACCGGCTAGGTCGTCAAAACCAGACTTGCGTATAGTGAAGACAGGCTTGAGGGAACTAATCGTCTCAGCCCACCGCAGCTTACATCACGTTCGTGGCAACCCGAGCTGGTATCCATACGCAAGCCTCTGGGCCAAGTCAGGGCGGGACGGTCGGACGGGTGGTTCACCCGTCCTCTGTCAAGTCTCTAGCGCAACGGTCCAGCCGTCAGCCATGTCGGTTGCCGTACCGTATTGCCAGATAGAAAAGAAGAAAAAAACGGAGTGACTGCCTTTCAGCGCTCAAGCCCGAAGTCGTGCAGGAGCCTCTTAAGTCCCAACGTCAGGATGAACACGCCCATGTTCGTGGAAGCCCCGAGACAACTGCTGAACCCGTCGCCCTTCCCCTAGCAGAGACGACACGAAACAGAGCACACGCCGGCCGTTCGTCCGTCTATCCAGATGCGGCCCCGCCAACGCTCTCGAATCTTCAATCAAAGGGTACACGCCAAGGTTCAGCTCGGTACCAAAGCGCCCAGCCGAAACCCTCTTGCCTGTCCGCCGTCCACCGTCCACCGTCAACGACAAGAGACAGATGGACGAGTCGAGCCGACGCAAGACGTGAAGACACCTAGACCATAACCGCCACATCATGGAAGAACCAAGGGAGTCACGAGCAGACAAGGGAATGCTGCATCGAAGAAGCTTATCCCATCCAAGCACTTGCCCCGCTCTGCTTCCTCTCCCATGCGACACAGACTCTCGCAAACGCTGGGTCGCATCAGTCAAACACACGAGGGCGACGCTCATCTCCCTCGTGACCCCCTTAAAGTCCTTCCGCCTTGCATTGACTGCCTTGCATACACGAAAACGATAGGCCAAGTGGCCGATTGGCTAACAAGTTAACAAGCTAACAAGCCAGACGGGGCTTATATGGCCATATACGCCTGTAAACAAGGAAAGTAGACAAGGCTACCATCAGCTGTGCTCCATGCTCCCGCATTATCTCATCGTAATCGTAGAGAGGCCTAAATACTTGCCGGCAGGACTCGTACGTCTCGCATGCCGTGTGCCTTGACATCTGCACCCCAGTTTCCAAACCGCCTCAGGAGCAGGATGACATGGCAAGGCAGCTTCCAGCACGAGGACGACCAACACGCCTAGAGAACAAATCCGGACAAGGAAAATCATGTTGCCGGATTAGCGCGGCATCGCATACGTTTCACGCTTGTTGACGTTCTGGAACTGGACTGCTAGGCTTCGGAGCTCACGTGTGGTGGTGGTGGGGCTCGGACTCACGCTTGCTCGTCTGCCACAAGGATCGACGACATGATGGTTATCGAACGCTGTCCACACGTCCAAACGTACTGAGGAATGCGGACGACCTTGTTGGGTGGAAGGACATGGACTTACGTATGCACATGCTTGAGCGATGAAGACCGAGCGTTGAACTGACTCAACGTTCACAAGTCACGGGGCCGCGATGAAAACGGTCAGGATACAAGTCTAGGTAGGCAACACGCAACGAACTTCTATTAAGTATTAAGTGAATGCGAACAGCTAACACTGGCCCTAGTGGCCAGCACAGACAGTCCCATGCAGTCTTTGTCCATCAACAGCAACATCTCCAAACTCAAGTCTGACGATTCCTGACCCTAGCCCGAGAGTTGAACCAAACACAAGAGGTCCGTCCATCCTGTCGACCCAAGGCAACTTCAATTTTTTGTCGTGGGTATTTTTCTTTTCGTGTTCTTGTCTGGAGCGACGGGTATAACTGGGTATCAAAGCATCAAAGCACGATACTTGTAAAAACAAATAAATCAAACAAAAGAGAGCAAAGACGGAGGAAACTGACTTCGAAAAGACTGAAAGTGGAATGGAATCACCTCCCGCCATTTTTCGCCTTCCGATGCGTGTGCTGTAAAGAGGGAAATAGGAAAGGGTATCAGGTAGAACCAGTCTTGACGGGGTATCTTGAAATGCAGATCCGATTCCCGAACAAACCCATCCAAGTGAACTGATTTGTCACGTGATGTTGTTGCTCTTCCTCCGAATCTCGATCCGATGCGTGCACTTGTTTTTGGTGATTTCTTTTTTTAGTTTTGCTTCATTCCTCTGAGCGTGACGAGAGAAACTTCCACTTGCGAGGAAGAGACATCGAACCCAGCCTCGCACTCTATGCGGCGGCGGTGACAGGAGCAGGAGTGGAGGAAGCGACGTTCTCGGGCTTGTTCTCGGGCTCCTCAGTGGCCTTGGAGGTCTCGGCAACGGGAGTCTCCGAGGCGGCCTCGGTGGCAGGGGTCTCCTCAGGCGTCTCCTCGGTCTTCTCGAGCTTCTCGGCGGGCTTGTCGGAAGTCTTGCCACGGCCCTTGATGGTGGCACGGAGCTTGGAGAAGGCGCTGGTCTTCTCCTGCTTCTCAACGTCCTCGCCGTCGGACTGGACAGGGGACTTGGCAGGGGACTTGTCGCGCTTGCCGAAGCCGAAGGGCAGGGAAGACTTGCGCTTCTCCTTGAGCTCAGGGCGGCTCTCACCGTTGGTGGCGGGAGCAGTCTCCTTGATCTCGACGGGGACAGTGCTGGGGTTGGCAACATCGACGGCCAGAGGGGTGGTGGCTTCGACAGGAGGGATGACGGGGGCGGTCTCGGTGGCGGGAGTAACCTCGCCCTCCGTGGCAGGGGCGGGAGTGGCCTCGGCCTCGGCAGCGACGGCGGCCTTCTTCTCCTTCTTGCCGAAGACACCAAAGATGCTGTTGCGCTTGGTAGGGACGGGCTTCTCCTTCTTCTCCTCCTTGGGGGCCTCGACAGGCTTGTCCTCGGCAGCAGTCTCGATGGCAGCAACGGGAGCCTCAGCGGCGGGGGCAGCCGGGGTCTCGTCGGCGGGAGCCTCAACGACAGGGGTCTCAGTCGCAGGGACAGCGGGAGTCTCCTCCTTGACGGCCTCAGTAGCAGGAGTGGCCTCCTCCTTCTTCTCCTCCTTCTTGCCTAGCAGGTTGCCAAAGATGGAGGCACGCTTGCGGCTAGCAGAGCGACGCTTGGGCTCCTCCTCCTTGGTCTCCTTGGCAGCCTCCTCAGTAGCGACGGGGGCAGCAGCAGTCTCAGTGACAGGAGTCTCAGTGGCGGCGGGGACCTCAGCGGCGGGGGCCTCGGCGGCCTTCTCCTCCTTCTTCTCCTCCTTCTTGGCAGGCTTGAGGCTCTCCAGGGCGGTCTTGTAGGCCTCAGTCTCAGTGATGGTGGAAGCAAGCTCCTTGGCCTCAGCGACCTTGAGCTTCAGCTGGGAGATCCAGTTGTCACGCTCCTCGGCGTTGGCAGCCTTGAAGGTGTGCTTGTGGCCCTTGGCAGTGAAGTGGAACTTGTTGGCGCCATCGGCGGCGGGCTCAGAGGCATCGGCCTGAGAAGTAGTTGTTAGTGGACCTGTCCTTGTGCAGGCGAAACGAGAGTTCTTACCAAGTTGATGACACCCTGAGGAGCGGTCTTGTCGCCGAAGAAAAGGAGACCCTTTCCGGTGTGAGAAGCCCAGGCGGCGTTGTGGTGAGCAGACTCGGTGGACTTTTCGCTCTTCAGGTAAGAAGAGAGGTTCTTGGACTCGACGGCATCGTTTCCGAACCAGAAGAACTCCTTGGAGTAGATGAAGTTCCTGGGTGACGCTGTTAGAACACTGGAATCAGACTGGAGAAAAGGCGTGCTAGGCTTACTTGGGGAAGTTGATGCCCTTGTGCTCAAGGGTACCCTCCTCAACGGGGACGACCTCCTTCTTGACCTCCTCGACGGGTGCAGCAGCCTCGGCGGCGGCCTCAGCGGGGGTCTCTGTGGCAGCAGCCGGAGTCTCGGTGGTCGCGTCGGCGGCGGGAGCCTCCGTAGTCTCGACGGGCTTCGTCTCGGCAGCGGGCTGCTCGGTGGTGGTGGCAGGGACAGTCTCCTTGGGGACCTCGACGGGCTTCTGTTCTTCGGCCATTGTGTGTGATGTGTGGTTGAGAAAGGGGGGTGGGTATCAAAAAGTCAGGCGAGAGACTTGGGTATCACAATGAAATGGTGTAAAACAAAAGCACTACTGAAAGTACTGTATTGGTCGTGGGGAGGGTAGTGTGATCTCTTGGACAGGAGTCAAGAGGGGAATAATGGCAGAAAAAAAGAAGACCTGTAAATGGTGGCAGAGAGAAGACGGGAAAGAGAGAGAAGAAAAACGGGAGGTCGAGCGGGACGCTGGGGGTACTTATTCGCAGAAGCGTGACAAGAAGAGGCTTTGCCCTTGCCAGGAGGCCCGGTTGAAGGAGGTTCACACGGTCCAGTTAGTCCCTTGCGAAGGAAAAAGAGGCGTGGCCCCGTCCTGAGTGGCTCCCCCCCGGGTGTGTGAGAGGTACCTCTGAACTGCTCGCGTAAGGAAGAGGGAGGGAGGTATTCCGCTCGGAGGAGAGTGTGTCAGTGTCAGTTCGGAGGGCGGCACTGGCTTGGAAGGTGTCTCGTTGCTTGGGCGAGGACGGTATGGATGGCGATACGGTATGGAAGGTGGGTTAGACCAAACCGTAAAGCGAGAGGGGTGGGTGGGATGGGATGGGATGCGTGGTGTCTGGGCTTAAGCGCAGGAGCCAAGCCCAGGCAAGTACAACGAGAACGAGGATGAGGTCCGGTGGCCGGTCTGCTGAGCAGCTTGGGCGCAAAAGAAGTTTGTGAGTGTGTGTGAGGTTCGACGAGTGAGGTGCGATCAAAGAACGGCAGGGCAAGGGTCTGGGAGGGAAGCCGTTCCAAACGGATACTTTCTAGTGGGGGGTGTTTTCCCTTGCAGTCGTGGCCCTGTCAGTATCGTACAAGACAGCAGCCAGTCAGTGTCAAACGGTACACTGACCCTGTGTCTCGCTCGTGGGGTGGAACCTCCATCTCTTTCCCTTTCTTTCCTTCCCTCGCCGCCCGTGTTGCTGCTGATCTCTGTTGGTCTCGTCTTGACGACGGTCGACACCGCAAAGATTTTGATGCATTTGACGATAGAGACGTGCCAAGTAGCGGGAGCAACTCAAAATGATACATGGCATGCGGCGCAGAATGCTGCTCGGAAGCAAGTACTTGTCTCCGGCGCAGGTACTGTACTTTTTACCTATTCTAAAATAAGAGTGGGGCATGGCATTTGGTAGCTCTTTCCCTGTCAATGCGCTTGGGTGTTGCTCAGTTGCCAGGTGGGAGAAGCGAGAACGCAGAATGGCCTGTGCTGCACGCAAGCGAGTGGGACGAAATTTCCAAGACCCGTAACGAAATACCTTTTTAGCTGCATTGCATGCTGACTTTGCGCTGCGCTGCGGAAAGAAAAGAAGAAAAGTTCGATGCTGCGGTACGTACCGCCGACGGGCAGAACTGCCAGACGGACGAGGAAGATGCACGACGGACAGGGGGGGTGGGAGGGAAGGAGAGGGTCGAGGACGAGCCTTTCCACTCTCTGGCCAGCGTCAGGGGTTCCTTCCTGCCTGGACCCTGCTGCTTTGTCGGGAACATGCCATGGGGGGCCCACCCTGGCCGCCATTCCCAGACGTTAGTGGCTGTCCTATTTCATTTGGTAATCTTTTTTTGTTTTGTTTCTTTGCTGTTTGAAGCCTCTTTCTCTCTCTCTCTCCAGGCGGTGTCCCCCCTCTGTCGAACGGTCGTCCCTCCACCAATGCAACGACGCTACGATGTGAGCACTTCCTGACTATTGATTGCATGTACCTTGGGAGAAGAAAGAGAGCAAGAGAACCATGGATGAACGTGGGATTATTGAGAAAAACTCGTGGCAGGATTTTCCCACTTTCGTCCTTTCCCCCCCCCCCCTCCCCTTTGCGCCTCGACGGCCCAGCAACCCCTCAGCCGCTTCGTTTGTCCAGTCGTTTTACAGATAGGACAAGTTCCCCTTCATCTTGCAGCCCAAACCTGGTGGACCGGAAAGAGATGGCTGGGTGATTTCGATACGCGCTGGACCCTGACCCTGACCTGGGCGACCCTCTCTCCCTCTCTCGACGGTCCCCAGTTCTTGTTGAGATAAGGTAGGGAGGGAGAAATAGAAAGGGGCGAGCGGCCGTCTACATCGTGTCACTTCGTTTCGCTCTACTGGCTTGGTCAACTCTCCATCGGCGGCGGGACGATGTAATTAGCCATTATTGCCAGCAGCGTTTCGCGAAGTGACTCATGGCCGCAATGTAATCAGCAAGGCCCAGAGACTTGCTCCTCTCCCCGAGACCGCTCTTTTGCTTCTTGCCCTGGCCTCTCCCAACGTTTTCTACACCAAAGTTGGACGGAACATCTACAGAGGTACGGATACCGTTACATTCGATGGCCATAACGCGGCGATCGTGAGTGGATCAGATGCAAGCTGCCCTGGTTGGACAAATAAATGGACACGATGTCCTTTGCAGCCAAATCCTCACTGATTCTCCGATTCGGAAAACAGGGTACAAGACACATGAAGGAGGGGAGAGAGAAAAGGAAAAATAGTCGTACAAGAAAAATTATCCTCAATATGGACCACTTCGAAACCTCCCGTCCTGAACTCGCGTGATGTCCTGCAGCCAGCCCATGGGGGGACGTCATACTGCGCCTCAAGGGTTGCCGTCGATGCGCTCCATTCTCGTGCATTGCATGCAAGCTTTTTGTGTGGCATGACAACCACACAACACTCAACAATAGGTGCCCACCATGCAAGCGCTGCGCATCGCATCCCACCATCTCTCAGAGTGAGGGAGACTGACGAACACCACCAGTAGCTCGAAAAGAGGGCCTCAAGGATTGGCTCATGTGCTGGACTGATGATGGAGTGGGCTGGACTGGGCAGGTGTATCCCCTCCATAGAGAATGCCTACCGGTACTGAATGATCATCTCCTGCTCCTACATCTGCGCACACATTTTCCTCCGTCGTGTGCGCCGCAAACGCCCCCGACTGGCCTGATTTTTCTCTGCCCTACAACAAAACACATGGGAGAGAGGGCGTTGTGACCAGCGGCCAAGTGCCGGCATGGCTGGGCACCCATCCGGAATGGTTAACATATTCCGTCACACCCCCCTAAAAGCTGACCGTTTTCACTAAACTACGCATGCGCCGTTTCCTGCTACTTTGGCAGCTAAACAACAGCAATCCTTCCATCGTTGCTGTCATTAAGAAAGTATCTCGGCATGGACAGTTCGCGTATCGTAGGGATGGCCTAACCGCCAAGCAAAAGAAAGGGAGTGCGTGGGAAACGGCTCTACCACTAGCTTCTCTACTACGAGCCTTTGTCCTGTCAGATCACCCACTAAATATCACGGCCTTCCTCAAACCTTAGGCCAGAATCCACGGGCACCGTACGGGATGGTAGTACTGTGTAGTGCACGAGGGCGCAAGGGGAGCAACAAGAGAGGAAGGGGAAAAAATAGGAGCCAAAGTGGTCCCCTATTAAACCAACCACGCCATAGGGCCACGATGGGGAAAACGGAGGGGGCCAGGACGTTTCTCTATGCTTGAGATGTGCCGCTAGTCCGCTAGCTGCATCCTCTTTATAACCATGTGACTCAGGCCAGAGTACCGTCTAGGGCAAAGAGTCGTCGTCTTGCGCGGGAGTGTCGATCAGCCTGCGCACCTTATCCCGATGCTTCATTGGACTGACTGGCTGCACCACAACAAGTGACTGGCCGACGGGCGTCAGTCAGACCTCTGACGACACTGTGTGTGTGTGTGTACGTGTGTGCGTGTCGTCAACCACCAAGCCGATGGCGCTCTCCTTGGCCACAACGCTTGCGCGCGAACTGAGCCAGGCAATGAAATGCGTCAACCTGACCTAGGGCGCCTGCCAGAGTGTGCAGAGGCGCCATTCCCTTTCCTCCTGCCTCGATGTGTCCAAGGTACGCTCTCGAGCAGCCTGTCTGTCCTGACTCCTGCCAGTCACCGTAGTCCATGTACATTGGCCCTCTTCGGGTTGGTGTAACCTCAGAGTATGGATGCTGCACAGACGGGCTCCATCTCCCTATCTCTAAACCCATGATCCGTTACTTCTCGTGATGCATGCAACAGCATCTAGATGCGGCAGTAGGGCAGGTATCTAGGTATTTAGGTATTTCGCCAACAGTCTCCCGTAGCCTAGTCTTAGTGTTATTCATCGATTGCGCGTGTCGCATCTGTATTTCACCCATTTGTGTATAATGTATAATGCACTTTGTAGGTATATGCCATGTCAGTGCAGGAAGTCCCCTTGGGGGAGTATCTAAGGCGCTGACATTCCATATCGTCCCAGTGGCTGCGGATCAGAAAAAGGAGAAGTCGTTCAAAGAAGACTCGTCTGAGGCCGGCACGATGGATCCACTACTATGGTACAACCAGACGACGACGGAGGAGACCATTTTTCTAATGACAAGCAGAAACAAAAGCCGTCCCCAACACTTAACCAATCAATCGTAGATCCACAAGCCCTTGACCTTTGGACCCATTCCGCATATTGGATCCAAATAATCCTAGCTGCCGCCGGGCCTAGTCTTGGACCTTCTTGGGCAACAGACAGGGACTGACGGGGATGTAAGGGGCTATTCCCCTGTATCTCATGGTCAAGGGGCACATAGGGGGGTTTTGTTTTCTTTCCTCTCGAGATTCTCAGGACCACGACATAACAACTGGATACATTAAATCTCCTCCACCGCCCGGGCCTGAGAGTTGGTCTGGAAATAAGCACACGCGCTGGCGACTTGACAACCGATCAATCAAGAGAGCAGATTCCCAACGACACTTGAGGGAAGGCTCTGTTTGAGCGCACATCAATCAGTCCAGACCTGCCAAGAGGCCTGAGGCTGATTCCAGCCCGCCAACTTCCCAGACCACGCCCCCAAGCACAACATATCCCTAACGGACCGAAGCTCGTACCCGCCATCACTTGGACATTGCTTGCTGCTTGGGTGACCATCCATAACGGGGCTGTGATGCAGATGCGCAGGGACGGCAAATTACGGCCACTGCCGAGCTAAAAATTGCTGATGGGCACCGCGTTCATTTCAACAAAGAGCCTTGGGCCGTCCGAGTCGGCGACTATTGGCTTCGAGGGGTTCCAGCGCGGCGCTACCATCGCGATACCATTAGACCACCTGGCCATTCTCGCCTGAAGCGTACCTAATCTGCAGGCTTGAGTGATTGATGGATGGTCACGGCTCAGCATCCGTACCCTGCTGAACGTCAGATACGGACAGCATTGTTCCAAGGGGGCTGGCGGGCGACAGCAGATTGATTTGCCTGACCAAAAGTCTGAAAAGCGAGAGTTCCGGGAGTCATGCTCGGTTACTTGTTACGATGTATACCTCGCCCCTGAACGTCGCGAAGCATAGCCTGGTTGTTAGCCAGTCCGCCCGGGCAGGTTGGGATGACAGCAGGAAAATCAACCGAAACCTGAGCTCAAGGCTGTTGTCCGTCATTTGATCCGTTGGAGGCCGTCCAACAGCCCACACTGAAAAGCTTTTGGGGTGGTGTTGGCTTGGGATGAGGGAGCCACTCATTGGAATGCGATTCACCTTCCAGGATGCCCATGGCTGTGAGCCGACTCAATGTTTACTTATGCCGTCAAATGCCACCACCAAGCCCTGCCATGTGCTGGTTGCGCGTACCTCCTTCAGGACTGTCCACAGCAACCCTGTCAGCTGATCCCTGTCCTGTGTCTCCTTTGATTTTGCTTCCCGGGTTGAAAAGTTACATTTGCAGCAGATTTTCATCTGGCCCCACGTCGTGACCAGTCACGCTGGCGCTGGCTTCAGGGAGAGGCCCGGCGGCCGGAGAACAGCTCATCGCAGCGGGACAAGGCTCGGATCCGGGCATGACTTGCCTCTCGAACTGAAGGTCTTGATGGTGTCGGTTTGTTGCCGCCCAAGTGGGTTTTCAGGCCAGCCGGCCGTGTGTACTTCTAGGTTCCCGCGGAACCCCAGAACAGGGCGACAGCGTCGCCGGTCGCCATCGGTGGTCGGTATTTGGACAGAAAAGGATAGAGTTGGGTGATGGGATCTTCGGCGGACGGCAAGGAACTGTTCACCAGACCACGTACAGCCCTGCTTGGCTGGATGGCGACATCGTCATCCCCTTGATCTTGGTGCAAGGCATCTCGCCATCTGCCTGATCTGTGTTGACGAACTGCAGCATCGCACAGCCGGCCGCCCTAGTTAAAACTGGAGCCGTGGTTGCAGTCTCAGATACACATGACCGACGAGTCGCGGAAGTTGGAAGGTGTGAACGGCCTGGCTGGGAATGGCGTCGATGAAGGATGGCATCGTATCCGATTGCCTGGCGTGACATGACAGGACCAAGGTGGTGCTGCTGCGTGGCAGCGCTTTTGCGGCGTGTCGAGGGTGGGAGTCGTCCAAACGAGTCTCATTGGGCTGTGTGTCATGTACTGTGTAGGTCAAGGACTTGAGATAGCGGGTTGGGGCCTTGTGAATGGTCACTCTCATGATCTTGCATGTGGCCCATTTGTTTCGTCAAAATCGTGATGCACATCGGGCCTAGGAAAAAGGCAGACTTACGTAAGGTAAATAATGCGTTGTGGTGGTATCTCTGGAGTGCAATTGATCGTCGCCGCCTGCAAGTAACTACCTAGGAAGTAGGAATGGAAAGTCGTGGAAAGAACCTCTCAAGGAAGCAGGCGCAGTATTCCACCCTCATTCCTTCCTGCTAGTCACCAGCAATCAAGCATTCAGTTGCCTAAGGCCAAGGCATGTACATGTACGTACATATTGCCATCCAAGTTCCTGATGCCATCCAAGCCGGTTTTTCCTATGTCCACACACTTTTTTAGTCAGTGTTTGCTGGTCACTTGGTGTTGAACGATTTCTATTCTCGTCGACTGTTTGGCCACCCTTTTTGTCCCGCGTTGAAGGCAACGACGAACCTTGATGGATCTGCGTTGATGGCCACCCTCCACCCCCGGTTCCTTCTGCATTAGGGACCGTGTTAACGATGGCTGGCAGACCTCGCAGCACATCACCCCTCCTCCTTGTTTTTCCTGCGTATGCGCATGATCACACTCTTGTTATCTTCTCCGGCAGTGGATATTACCGTTTGAAATGCCGCCCCCGGTCCGGCCGTTTTACACCATCGTCGATCTGCCATGGCCTTATGCCGACTTGCACACTGTCATCTTCGAGACCAGCAGTTGTTAGTCAAAGAGATTCATCGAGGTCATCGTTATCATTGCTGCAAACTCGCTAATTTGCTCTAGCATAACCATTAAATATCGGCCGCCTACATGTGAGAAATACTCGTTGTTCTGCCTCTGGATAAACTTCTCCTGCCGGCCTGGTTGGATGTGCATGCCGTCGGCCAAAATCTGAGACATACTGTCTTTGGGTAGCTCGCGACGGCTTTGCGGCGTGAAACATTGATATACCTAGCACGGCACATTGCAACCGCCACCACGGTTCTAGGCTCCCACGGCACCCGAGGCTTACCTTGCTTGCCTTTTCGTTTGCGTACGGAGAAGCTCACGGCAGCAACTCAAAGACGGACACTGCCAAGTGGCAGAAGGTGTCGACGTTCTGGATGTTCTCCGTCGGATCCGCCGGCTTGCTTGAAGCCGAGTTCTGGGTTTCGTACGGTCAAGCCACTTTCCACTTTGGTCCAAGGAAGCTCAATATCTGCTTGCATATATCTGCGGTTTCAGGCATGGGACATTAACTACTTGGGGATCAGGTTGAGGATTTCCTCGTCCTTGACAGCGCCGCTGTCCACGACGGCGCTACGGGTGTTGCCAGCAGGACCGTCCAGAAAACCTCCAGAGTCTTCCCCTCGTTACGCATTATCTCGCCACGATTGCGCATTTCGTCGGAGCTTGTTTAAAAAGTCGACACTGATAGTCCTGGTGAAAGATGGTCTTAGTGAGCATTGCCAACCAGGTGCATCACAAGACGCCCGTAACCAGTTCGACTGGTGCTTGTTGGTTGTCCAAGATGCCGCAACTGAAACAAACCCGTCTTTCGCTTGATGCAAGTGGGGGGCCTCATTGAGACAGCGCGAAGGAAGGCGGGCATTCCGTAGCAGAGACGGCGAGGTCGCCGTGATCAGCCAAGGAACGCAGTAAATACATACGAGTCCCTTTGCCCTTGGTGACAAGGTGATCCAAGTCAATATAAATGCCTGTGCCCGAACCTATAATATTTGTTTTCCCAAACCAGGAATCGGGTGCCGCTGACCAGGGCTATTGACGCAACTGGAGAGCAATATCGAGCACAGAGTAATAATCCGATGTCTCTTAGCCTAAAGGGTTGTTAATCTGACCGACCTACCCTGGTTTGCGGGCACCGAAAAATCGCCTCATCGTCAACGATAGACGAGGCAGTGGCTGCGGGCACCGACCGGTGTCAAGGCGTAACTTTCCACCTGTGGAGTTTGTTTCTGTTGACCGACCATCCTCGCCGCGTCCTTCTGCCGGCCTGGTGTTTGCGAAACCGATGTCCTCGTCTACATGAAGCTGCGGTGACGGTGGCGGTGACGGAGACGGACCTTGGTCCGCCCGGGGTTCGAGACCATCGTTATCCAGGTATTGACCCTCGACGTCCTCGCAAGCAAGCGCGCTGGCAAAGCCCGACACACATCAAAAACGTTCATGCAAGCCCCGCCGTTAGCATGCACATGATGCGCCCTACCTCTCGGCCTCTTCCCCTCATCACGTTCTAAATCCCCGCGTACCGGTGCTTGTACCTATCGCACCACGACGAGTCAAGTGCTCACTGTCGAGCAACAGGTGGGCCGCATGAGTCTTCTTGTCTAGGGGTAGGTCGCATTGGCCGACTCTCGACGTCAGTCGTGCCACATTTCGAACCTCTTGCCGTCCTCGCCGCCAGTGCCGCGAAATCCCCAGACTCATCCAACCGTACCATCCGGCTTAGCGGCGACCATATTGGGCGTCATCAGTGAGGTTCACTGGTTGGTGGTTCATGCGGTACTTCCAATAGGGGATGCAGCTCTTATCACACCACAGGAGAAGGAATCTAGACACTTCGAGACGGGTTTTACAATACGCTTCGTGACTCCCGTGACCCCTCGTTCTAGGAGGTCTGAGTCGCTTGGTCAGGCTTAACTTTGGCCAAAGTTGACTTCAACGCAATCGCTCCGAAGTTGCTTGCAACCCTCCTGCGCAGGTACGCTCGGATCTCGCCAGTGGTGACCTTCAACTCTGGTTCTGTTTGGAAATGGGTGTAAATTCATTTCCTCAACTCTACACCTGAAGTCGATATCCCACAACACCATTTCTTTTTTGCATAGTTCTGACTAGTGAGAAAACTGATGTCTCGGGGTCATTCGATGAAGTTCGAACCCATACGCAGCCCCCCCTCCTCCAGCGCGCCCAATGTTTGGACTGCCCGTGATTGCTTGGGAATATCACGAAACAGTTTCTTGCACGCACGTTTGCTGGCTTCTTGCCTTTAGTCGGCACGTTCTGACAAGCTGTGCCCGTCGACAGTCATGATGCAGATCGAAACCTTCGCTTTCTCCAAGTGAAGGCAATCTCACAGCCACCCTAATCTAATAGCGATCTACTTCCGAAGAACCTACCCGTGATTCATTTTACCTTCTCTCATCCACCAGGTTGAAAGTGTTTTTTGGCCAATGTTCACCTCCCTCCCAAAGACAAAAGACACATTACAATAGTGAATGAGTATCAGCTGTGTCGTCTTGATGCTTTCGGCATGGACTTTGGGTTGATCTCGTATTCAAGCTGGTGTTCAATAAACCGAGTAATGTGCCGCTCACTATCTTTTACATCATTACTTCTCAAACACAAAAGACAAGACACCTACCAAGTTGACCAAAGAGATCTATCCCGTCTTCGTAGTGTAGGAAAAAAAACATTGGCGTTTCTATGAATAAAATCTGAACGACAATTACTACATTTGTCTATGGCCAATCTGGCATGAGGTTGCACATGAGCGAAGGAGGCATGGGCTTGAGAGGGCTTCCTCCCCGAACCAATGCTTGCGGAAATCAATATTGTTCACGGCAGAAACTCATGAAGCCAGGGCTTCTCTGTCAAAGACGCAGAAGAGCTATGAACGCAGAAAGTTGTGAACAGCCTGAACCTTCTGTTTGTCAGAGTTCAATGGATTTGCTTACAGTCTATGCAATAGTGATCTCAGCTCCTGGCGAGAGCTCTTTCAAACAGCCTCTTGTTCATTAGTTGATGGCTTCTCTTGACACCCGTTTGGGCGAGAGTTCACCCAAGCCCACTGCCTGTGTGAGGAAGTTGACCTTTGAGAGAGTGGTCTGGTCCTTCCTAGAGCTCGATTGACAGTTTGCGAATCTTAACACTTATCTCGACCCCAAATACTGGTTCTTCCAGGTGACATGGTCTACACATCACCAACATCATAACCCTACTATTCCACAAATCCCATTTCAGTTCCCAGAACTCAGTACCAGTGGCAATTGACAGACCCTTCCTTCCTTCCAACCACTGAATCTAGCTCTGCCCGTTGAAGTAGCTATAAAACTCATGACTTCGCCCCTTAACTTCAACCTTCTTTCTCAACTCAAAATACAGCTTGACTCTCACGCTAAACGACTTGGACATCCAATTGACTCATTCAACCCTCATCTTGGTTCCGCTGGCTTTCCTCTGTCTGCTTCATGCAGTCCACTCCTGCCCACCACGTGAGGTGTTCATCTTGATTCGGTTTTTCTACATCAGTACCCATCAACTTTCCTCGACTTCACCGTTAACAGACCCGGCTTTCAAAGGAAAGAACGTCCGAGTTGCCAGGTCTTTGCCTTTTAGGCTCTCGGGCTTGCTTAGTTGTCATAACTTTACTTTCGGCTGGATCAGCTATATAACCCAGCTCTCTAAATCACCTTTGGCTTTGGCAGACTTTCTTCTCTCAACACCATACTGCTCCAAGCCTGAGCTGCTTCTATTTCATACATCTTTATCTTCTGAACAGCCAAGCCCAAGTGGACGGCCCATCTATCAGTAACCAGCATCTGAAGTTATCTCTTAATCTCACTTTCCTACGCTTCTTCTAAGCAGCTTATACCATCTAGCTTGCAGCTCTCTTTTCACTTCTGCTTTCCTTCAGTCATCTTTACAATTCTTGCATATCCCGGGTTTGGTTCGTTGTTCGAAGCTGATGATTCTTTTCTCTCGGCTCACATTCAACCGCCAGTCGAAGACGAAGAGACAATTATCTAGGATGGCCTACGGCAAGAAACATGCGCGATATGGCGAAATGCATCTTGCGGTCCCTCAAAATGACAAGTGTCACCCGGTGGTCGGCCGCACCTATAAGGAGCAGTGTCAATATCAGCTCAGCACCGTTATTGGAATGATGACCGGTGGCAAGGACTCTTTGCCGGAGCTGCCCTGTCATGCGTTTCCAGGACCAGTGTTCTGGAACAAATTGCGGCAGGCTCAAGACAGCGAAACGAAAACAAGCCCCTCTATTTCTGAAGATGAAGTCAAAGAGTTGACTGTTGAGACCCAGCAAGATGAGAGAAATAATAATGAGGCAGTACTCTCCAATTCACCAACACTCTTCGAGAAAACCCTCGCTGTCGTGCCGGTGGGTCGCGAGGTGATCGCATACCTCTGGTCTGTCGACACCCCCGCCGTTGGCAGACTTGCCTCTGCTTCTAAGGCTTGTTCAGATGCCGTAGCCATCTTTGTGGTAGGTTACGACTCAGTACCGACTCGGCCCTCTTTCATCCTGCTGACTTGCCGCAGTCTCGCTTTCACCTTCCACTTGGCGACTATCAAGACTGTGACTGGCATCCCTCTGCGCTTGTCGACATCGATGACGCACGCCGTTCGACGATTGGGATTGGTCGCAACCTCTTTATTCGGGGAAGAGATACCAACGTCATTCCTAGTGGCATCAAGGGTATTCCAAAGGCGTGGTTGAGTTACGAAACCCGCAATACTCTATGGAATGTTGCGCAGGATAACAAGGCGGATGCAGACACCTACGAGAAGTTCTTCCTATTCCTGGTTAACGACCAGAGACTTCTCAATGCTGAAGCCAAGTTAGGTGCTAAATACCACGAGCAGGGCCTATCTCCCGCGAAGGCAACCAACCACCATCTGCGGGAGATATCATACAACATCCCCATATGTACGTCAACTGCCCAACATGCTGTTTGAACTCGGATCGAGCTAATGCAATGCCAGTGCGGTCACTTTACCAATACGGTGGTGCTCTGAAGGCCCTGCGTTTGCACGAAGTTCCCATGATGGACGTACGGATCGTCGAGATGATTCTCATGACATGCCCCAAACTCGAGATTCTGGGGGTCATAAATTGTGAGCTCATTCACGTCGGCAACCTAATCTTCCTGCTAGACCTGATCTACTGGAACTCCAAGAAAATGGCAAAAAAACCAGTGAGCCTCCAGTTTCATCCACGAACCTACCTTGGCCCGCTGGAAAACCGCCTTGGTACTCATATCGTCTCGTGGGACCCGATAAATGTCAATGTTCTGACCGCAACTCTCGCTTTGGTCTTCCTAGCTGCCATCAAAGCTCTGCCAATGGGCATCGACCTTCTCTCCAAAGGTCAGGACTTCCGTAAGTTCTTCGATCTCATACCAATGAGGCCTGGCCAGGGAGCAATCTTTCTTCACCATGTCTTCACATGGGTTGACGCGGCCAAGAGTCCCCCTTCTTACGCCCTTCTCCCCAAGCAAACCAAGGAAGACCTTGAAGACCAGGTAGTAATGAGCCTGCTTCAGGGCTGTGACCAAAAAATGAAGCGCCGTCAACGCAACGATCAATTTAAACAAAACACTTGCAGCCGATGCAGCAACACCTTGATCCGGGCTTTCTTCCGCCCGGAGATGGACACCCGCCGGCTGGCGCATTGGGTTTGTCGCATATGCGACTTGAATTATGCCCTAGATGGGGAGGTTCACCATCGATTGATTGAGAAGAGGAATCTGCTCGACATGGTCCTTTCCTTGCCAGATAACGCCTTGAAACGCACAAGTCAGATCACACATAAGGAACTCCAAGAGGTCGTAGCACCGCTGCTTGTAAACCCCTTCGCCCGTTCTCCGGCACTCAACAGCGTAGCTCGCATCCAGGCGGTTCGGAACCACCTAAACTTACCCAAAGTGCAGGATCTTATTGCGCCTGAGAGGGATTTCGTCATCCTCGGAGCATCCGGAGAGGCAGCACTGCTTGACGTGGACGACCTGCTTCAGGAACTGGAGGGCATCTATATGGATCATCCAACGCTGACGAAGCAAACCACCCCCACCTGGGCTCGCCTGAACGGTAAAAGGGCCCGTAACCAGGCTTGGGAGTACGTCCTCTGGAAGAACGCAGTCAAGGACACCAAGGAGCACCAGACGAGTCGGTTCTGGTAAAAACACGAGGAAGCTCAATAAGAGGGTTTTGGCAAGATAACCTCTGGCAGAACTGCTTCTCGTCGAGTGCCCAATTATAGATTGACAGCAATCCATCTACCCGCAACGAAAAACGGACGACGAACAGTATTCATCATTTGCATATCCTAACCTCCGACCACCTCCATAACTCTCGTATCCGTATGATGATGATGAAATGAACACTATTTTGGGCCTGGAAGAACTTATGGACTATCGATGCAACAACTGGAAGGAAACGAAGGGGCCCATGGCGATTTGGAAAGCAGCATGAGGCACGGTGCAGCTTTGCCGTGCAATGAACCCCCGAGGTTGGCATACAAGCACGGGTGCTCTCCAACGAAGGAGATTTCCGGAGGGAGGGTAGTAGGTTGGTTTGGTTGATTTGGTCTCTTTCTTGGCTCGTTTGGCTTTCTATTATCGCGAGTTGGTACGTTGCATTTTATCATGAGGATCACCTGCCCAACTTCCCTTGCTTTAGTTGCAGGTTGGCATAGTTCTGGCAGTTCACGAGCCAAAGTGGTCTGATTTTAAAAAAAACAACCCCGGCCCTTGGCCTTCGATGAAGCGGTTGCAAAAAAGTGGTCTTGGTATCCTCAAGCTCTTGAGCTCGGGTATTCTACAATGTGATACATCTATGATGGTCTGATGTTGTACAGGTTATTACACGCTTCTTGGCGTCTCTCTGCGGTTTTTCGCCTTGCTCATCCCCAGACGGCTTCTCCCAAGCTAGACAATCCCAGTGCTGTATGGCTCATGCAAAACAACGAAAAAAACAAAACAGTGGAAATCAGCAGCTCCGTCACGAGGATTCGGAGCGGTTCTGCGCCTCCGACGTCAACCCGACCACGTTCTTCAACGTCCCGAAGCTCAGGCAATCGCTGATCCGGTTGGCGCCGGAGAACAGCATCACCAGCCTCTCGACACCGCAGCCCCAGCCGCCCGTCGGCGGCAACCCCGCCTCGAGCGCCCGGATGTAGCTCTTGTCGAGCGGCGCGTCCCTCCGCGGGTCCGGCTCGTCCTTGTCCTCCAGGGGCGCCGGGTCCTTGCCGGTGCCGAGGAAGCGGTGCTCCGCGAGCTTGCGCGCCTGCGCCGAAGGGTCGTTCTCCTCTTCGTACATGTTGGCCAGCTCGCGACCGTTGACGAAGAGCTCCGTGCGCGCCGACACGAGCTGCAGCGTCTTGGGGCAGACGAAGCTCTTGGCGAGCGGCGACATGCACGTCGGGTGGTGCGTGATGAAGAGCGGGCTGTCAAAGGACTTGGGCTCGAGGTAGACGGCAGCCAGGCGGTCGAGGAGCTTGGGCATCGTCGGCGGGATGCCGCCAGGGACCTCGACCTTGCTGAGGGCCAGCACGGCGATGAGCTCCGAGTAGGCGTCCTTGCCGGTGAGCTTGGGCAGGCGGAAGCCGAGGGCATCTTCGAGGGCCGGGATGAACTCGAGCTGGCGGAAGGGGCGGGTGAACTTGGAGACGTCAATGGGCTCGAGGGAGGTGAGCTGGGTCTCGATGAGGTGCTGGCAGTGGGCCGCGAGGCCGGCGAGGAGCTCCTCGGTGCGGGCGATGAGCTCGGGGAGGTTGGTGTAGGCGCTGTAGAACTCGCACATTGTGAACTCGGGGTTGTGGGTGCCGTCGATGCCCTCGTTGCGGAAGGCCGGGCCGATCTCGAAAACCTTGTGGACACCGCCGACGACGAGGCGCTTGAGCCAGAGCTCGGGCGCGATGCGGAGGGAGAGCTCCTTGGAGGGGAACTCGGTGGCCTGAGTGGTGAAGGAGCGCGCGACGGCGCCGCCGGCGTTTTCGGCGAGAATGGGCGTTTGGAACTCGAGAAAAGACTTCTCGTGGAAGTAGTCGCGCATGTACTTTGTGATGTGGGAGCGCAGCCGCAGGATGTCGGTGACCTCGGGGTTCACAATCATGTCGACGTGCCGCTTGCGCGACTTGGTCTCTGGGTCCGTCAGGGTCTGCGGGATCTGCTCCATGGTCGGAGAGAGCAGCTCCGGGAGGACCACGGCCTGGACGGTGAGCTCGCCGGTACTCGTGCGGGTGGGCTTGCCAGTGATGGCTGCGGGTTCGTTTAGTGTCTGGTCACCATAATGAAGAAGCACCTTGTCAGCTTACAGATGTGGTCACCCTTCTCGATCAGCCGGGCAAAGAGCTTAAAGGTGTCAATGTTCATGTCAGGGACGTTGCCGAGGTTGCGGTAGTTGATCATGCCCTGGATCTTCTCGAACTCATTGACAATGGTGACGAAGACAAGCTTGTTCCCGTGCAAACGGATGGATTGGACGCGGCCTGTGGCCCTGTCAGCGAGGCGCCGATGGTTAGGGACGATGGCCGCCCCGTGCGGGACGACTTGTATTCATTCTGCGTACCATACAGGGTGACGACCTCAGCGTTACCCGGGTCGTCCAGCTTGGCATCCTTCCAGATCTTCCTAAATGCCGGGACCGACATGGGCTTCTTGCGATGGACCAGCCGCGGGTGCGTCTCCTTGTACAAACCCTTCTCGCCGGCCTCTTCCAGCGCCTTGGCACGCGTCTTTTTGAACTCTGATACCCTAGCCTCCTCTTCACCCTGTACCGCTGTGTCCTGCTCTTCTGTCTGAGTTGCTATCCTATCCTTCTTCCTCCTGGCCCCATCTTGCTGAAGTCTGCTTGTGCCACTTGGCTGCCCGACATGAAAAGACTGCGCGAGCCTGGCGACCCGCGGTGCGCGTACCAACGGCCGCAAAAGCCGTAGACTCTGAATTGAAGTCATTGCGTCTGGTTATCTCCTGTTAGCTTCGTTGTCCATCGAGGTATGGATGTATGAAGAAGTGAGGGTAGGAGTAAATGTCAGATAATAGGCGGTTTAAATCAACCACAGCAGAAGCTGTGTAAGTCGCAGCGGTTCTGAATTGCTTGCAATCATCATATGAGGGGGAGAGGAAGGAAATAGAGCGTTCGAGCTAGACTTACCACCATAGTTGCTCAAGAAGATTTTGGCTCTTCTTGAGGTGGCCAAATATGTTAGGACAATTTGCACAGAAATTTTGCGCCGGCGCAGTTTTATCGTGGTCCCTGACGTTATCGATAACGCCCGACGCGAGCTGCGGGACAAACCGGCCCGGAAGGAGGGCTCAGTTCAAGCAGCTGCTGATTGGACATCGAGCTCAGAAGCGGGGCTCTCCGGAAAGCTGAACTCCAGCAATCCAGGCGCGCTGGGAGAAGACTTGGGGGCGCGATAAGATAAGGCAAAGGAGCTTCTGTAAAATCTCGACTCGGCGACGTCAAGTATCCATTCAAGCAATCGAAGCTGCCCATAATCAAATCAACGCTCCCTCGTCGCATCCAACGAAGCTCAAGTCAAACCATCACTCAAACCTTCCACTCGTCATCCCCCCCCAAACCGCCAATATGTCTTTCTTTGGAATGGGCCGCCCCAAGCTCTCCTCGGAGGAGAAGATTGCCATGGCTGAGCAGGAGATGCGTCTGCTGGCTGACATGCACAACCGGTACGTCACCACAACATTTATTCTCTGGAGGCCCGTTCAACGCGCAATGGACCTAGATTGCGGACCCGTGGAAGAATGTCATCTTTGCTAACACGCTTTTCGTGCGCACGTAGCTTGACCAAGATTTGCCAATCCAAGTGCCTCCCCGACTACCGCGAGGCCGACCTCAACAAGGGCGAGTCCGTCTGCCTCGACCGCTGCGCCGCCAAATTCTTTGAGGCGCACATGAAGGCGTCCGAGGTGATGCAAAACGAGAGCCAGAAGAGAGGCGGCGGTGGCATGGGAGGCGGCATGTTTTAATCAAAAGCGTCGATGGACGAACAAACGAAGCATGAAGCATAACAAAGCTCGGGAAAGGGAGAGAAACGACACAGCGTCACCGTTGGACGGCCAGCCTGCTTCCTGTAGCGCTCTGGACGCGGCGGTGATATGTATATCACGGATGGGTTATTGATGGGAGCGGGTTCCCGCATCGAGGTCGCCAGTCCTTTGGTTCTCTGTAACAAGGGCTTGGGATGCCTTGGGGATTCGGATGTTTTATTTTGAAGCAAACCCGCAGCCGGGCGCTTCGTGTATAATATGGGGGGCCACCAGAAGGTCCTTTCAATGAAGAGAACTACCCTCACGTTTCACTTTGCACGTCCTTCAGAGCCTGCTTCTGGCCTGGGGAGACGTCTGGACCCTGTGGTCTGTGAGATATACCGACAGAACGTCACTGTTCGACATGATGGAGACAGTCCTCAGTCGAGTCTCACAGGTAGGACGGATGTTGTGAATGCTCTCGCAGTGTTGCTGACTTGACAGTACTTGAGAGTTGTAAATCTCGCCCTACGTCAATGTCAGGTGAGGAATGCGATGTGTTGTAGACTCGACAGGATGAGAGATGTCCTCATTGAGCCTTTCAGACCCGACCCGGCTTCCCGATGCTTGCAGTGTCTGACACGAGCAATTGGGACATCACATGGCTCGTCTCGCGTACAATGGCTGTGTAGGAACCCAGGAGATGGTGCCTGGTCTCGAAGAACTCACTGGGCGTAGCCGACCAACTTAAAGCAAAGTGAACCAAACACGTCGAGCCTACGAGAACCAGTTTGAGCCATCTGATTACATAGATCTCGTGCGCTCAACCTATCGAAGTGACTTGTGTTTTTGTACGCACCTGGGCTGCTCAGTCTGACGACGACAGTCTTGAATGCTTTCATGTAAGCAACCAATCCCACGACGTCCGCCAGCCAGAATTACCAGTTTCGCTCTATCGTATGGTTAGTTGTCTTGGTCAACACTCCCCTGTCATAACCCAGCGACTCTCTGTCAAAGCCCGACAAGTAACGCGTGGCATCGTCGTCCTTGCCGGCAACCTGGATCCGAAAGTCGGGAACCGGCTAGCGAGATGGTCTTGGCCTTTCCCTAGTACACCTTACAGAGGTGGAGTGAATTCGTTTTCTCGCCCACAGAGGGCTTCCCGCCAGTGCCGTCGTCTACACCCTAAA